CCTGCCTCCCTAACCTGTCCTTCCTCCCACCTATCCCCTCCTCCCACCTCAAGCCCCACCCTCATCTCCCACCTACCAGCCTCATTCCGCCCCCTTGACCCGTCCGTCCTCTCTGGACTGATCTATCCCCTCCTAACTCCACACCTACACTCACCTTTACTGGCTCCACCCCCGCCTCTTTGACCTGTCTGTCTCCTCTCCACCTATCTTCTCCTCTATCCATCTTCTATCCACCTCCCCTTCTTTCCCTCTTTATTTCAGAATCCCCATCCCCTCCCCCATTTCTGAAGAAGGGCCTAGACCCGAAACATCAGCTTTCCTGCTCCACTGATGCTGCTTGGCCTGCTGTGTTCATCCAGCTCTACACCTTATTATCTCCACTTCATTAATGTGTCTAGGCTTTTTTGACAAAGGGTCAATGGGAGTATAATTTTAGGAGCAAGAAAGAAGCCGATAAAAGTATTGGGAACAATTTGTAGCATATGAAGCACCCTATATTTATACAGGATTTCATACTTTAATCTTTCTCTCATCTATTGACTGAGCTTTCAGTTTTAGGTTCAATATTGTGCAACTTACCCTTCAAAGCAATGTGCCACCGTCAATACCCATTTGCGTCCGATCAGTACACAGCCACAAATGTGCCCACTCGGTTCACTCTGCAATGAGCACTGCCAGGGCCAACGGCCTGGGCGACTAGTTCTGCCTCCAAGAACTCGTTTATTTAGTCGAGTTGCCGGACGCTGACCGCAGTCTAGAAAAGGTAAATTGATTTATCGATGGATTAATTTTTTTCATAACCTACAACTCACTCTGACCAAGAATTCTCCCTTCTTTTGTATTCTTCAGCCATTTTCTTTCTATCTCACTCTATCCTGTTACAACTTTTCCCAAAGTAAAAACATTCTCCAGCCCCCATGTCATGCAGTGCAATCGTGTAACCTTTCATATTGGAATTAATTATTAAGGAAGTAAGAGGAGAACATTTGGAAAATCATAATCTAATCAAACAAAGTCAGAAGCTTCATGAAAGGGAAATCATGTCTGACTAATTTATTAGAGCTTTTCGAGGAAGTCTCAACCAGAGTGGATAGAGAGGAACCAGTAGATGTGACGTATTTGAAGGCTTTCTACAAGGTACCTCAGAGAAGGTTATTTCATAAGATAATAGATCACAGTGTTGAAGGTAGTACAGTGGCATGGATTGAGAATTGGCACATGGATAGGAAACAGCAAGTGGGAATAAGGGGTTCTTTTTCACATTGGCGATACATGACCAGTGGGGTTCCACAGGGATCAGTGTTGGATCCACAACTGTTTAGAATATATAAATGATTAATTTGGAGTGGTAAAAATGCATTTTTAATTGTAAAGAGGGCATAAACTCATTGAAATCTTTGCCAGTCCTAATGAATTGTCCAAGAATAAATGAATTATTTAAAAAAATAGTGCTGGGTATATGTCTGGTCATATATAGCAAGTATAGGAATTGTGTCGCATAAGTGATTTCCAAACAATTAATTTCACAATGTGGTACTTATCATTGAGCATTTTTATGGACAATTTCAACTGTTTATTAATTGGAAATGTTTGTTAATATATCAGATTGACCACTTAAGTAATTATGGGAAGTGTTTGTTTTCATAAGGGATTAGTTGAAGGAATTTCAATGACTTTTTAAAAAAATTCTGAGTTTTCATTTATCCCCAATTGCACCATCATCAATAGACACTGTCAGCATGCTTCCTGAGGTTTGCCCAAAGTGGACACGAGGTGAGTTGGTATACAGAAGGAAGGGAAAATAGTGGTTAGGGGAATGTGAGTTGCCATCAGTTGGCATAGGGGCTATAAAAGGCTGTGGGTGATTAAAGATATAGGTTGGCTTGAGGTATAAGGGGCTATGGGAGATGTATAGCCAGGTGTGTAGATGGAAGACTGGCTATAAAGGGTTGGGGGGGGATTGGTAGAAGGGCATGGAGCTATAAAGGCCATGAAGGGACATAAATGGGCAGAGGTGGCACTGGTGTTTTGATTGATGTACTGTAGAATGTACAAATGGGCATGGGGTGAGGGCGGGTCATAGAGAGAGTGTGGAGGTGATGGGAAAAGAACAAAAGAAATGTTTTAATCTTTATTTTTAAGCTTGGAGCACAGTGCTGGAGCCCTGAGGTAGGCTCTTCCTCCTTTGGAACAGAAAGCCTCTTAGGCTCTCCCTGGGTTGTCTGGCCCGAGTCCCAATCCATCATCACCAGCCCCATCTAAGGATTGTGTTCACAGATCTGGGATTTCTACCACCTCTGTGCACCCAACCTGGGAAGAGAAATCACAGCCTTACCATCTTTTATAGAAATAATTCAAATCTCACTTGCACCAGTTGCAGTTTAGATAACATTGATTACTAGTCTAGGTGCACTAAAATTTATTTACCAGACATTCATAAAACTTCAAAGCAGCAAGGCAGATCCATCAAATCACAGCTGGCAAAGTCAACATCAGGTGAAAACAAATCCAACTAACACTAAATTGGAATCCTTTCAACTTTCTTCTTGGCCAGTCTGACAGTTTCAAAGCTCCTTTAGTATTAATCTCCTTATGAAGTATTAAGCAGTAGAGTTTCACGCTCATTACCTGTTCAGTAATCTTGGATTACTGGGTTGAGAAATAAATATATACCAGTTTAAAAAAAGGAGTTTCAGAAATTAAATTTGAAGAGGAGAGCATTGTAAGTTGCAAAATAAAGTTATGAATAAGAGAATATAAGAATATAAGAAATGATTTAAAGAAAGGATAGGAGATCAAAGATGGGACATGAGGAGAGATTGCTGACAAATAATAAGTATTTTGCAAATATAGTCCAGAAAACAAGAATCGTCAAATGTGAAGTGAGACCCAAGTGAAGGGAGCCCTGAGTTATCAGAGGATAAACAGAAATTTGTGATGTAATTGTCAAGTGCAGGATTTAATTTCAGATTTTACAAAAGAGAAAAAACAGGGAGTGGAGGGCAAGATAAATTCTAATTTAGTCTTATAATTGGCTAAGGCTCCAAATTTCAGTATTTAAACATTCTTGTATCCACTTTAGTTTCAAGAGCTGGACACCCACTTAATAGCCTCCGGGCAAACTGAATCAAGGCAAATCCAGAGCAGTGGGTAGAGCCCAGAGCAGAAGCTGAATTTTCTCTGCCAGTCTCTCGTCAGCAACTGAAAGCTTTCCCATCTCAACATTTTAAGATTGGATCAGAAGGTGGAAGGAAAAATGATGGGAATTGGGCCAGTGCAAGGGTTTGCAGCTGCTGCTCACGTGGAGAATAAACACGAACATGGATTGACTATTCGGTAGAGGCTGATTGTGTGTTATAATTCTGATAAAATCCAATGTACTTTCCGACAGTGCAGATATCTAATGTATTTGCTATTCACATTAGGAAAGATAAAGGGGAACCAGTATATGTAATATATTTGGATTTCTGAAAGTTACTCAATGAGGTAACATACATTCGGCTAAATAAGAACCAATACTATTGGGTATAGTATATTAGCACGGAGAGAGGATTGACTAACTAATTGAAGTTGAGGTAATTGGGAATTTTCAGGATGGTAACTTGAAACTAGTACAATCCACAGATCCATAAGAGGATACCCAGACATGCTTGTCTCTTGTACCCTCCAGCAGCTCAGACACTGACACCCAAGAGGAAATTATAGCTACATGAGAGTGAAGAACACCTGTTGGTGCCATTTCCGCAGCTGGTCAATGATGATCCACTCTAGGGTGCTGCCAGACACCAGGCACATGTTCAATCCTAGGCAGGAGAGGACACCATAGTGTTGACCATTTTTAATACAAATGCGCAAGCAGACACTGAAGTGGCAGGTATTTTTACCAGGGCTACTGGGCAAAATGACACAAAAGTTGCAGGACTACACCAATGCTGTTGGCATCATGCAGCCTTTGGCATGATTTTGTGAGAGAGGTGCTTCACTTTCAAGTGATATGAGGCCCTTTAGAAGGCTGGACAGGTTAGCATAGTGGGATGGAGGAAAAGGAAAAAGCATACAAGTAGCATGAGTGACATTTTACTGGAAATAGGTTCTCGCATTTGTAAATATATGTTCACTTCTCATCAGCAGCTGAGTGAGATAATTGAAGATTGAAGTTACAGAGTCCAGTCAACCATTGAGATACACAATGTTGGATGGTCCAAGGTGTGAAGTGAGCAGCTCCTGCACTGTTGTAAATTGGATGGTGATTGCTACTCTGGCCCATGGGGTGAACCTTTTTGGCCACAATACATTGCCTGCTCATCACAGCCATGAGTGCGAATGGTTCTGATGCTGCAGGATGTGGTCAAGGTTGCTTAGGGCAGGATTTGTATGCCACACAGTAGGATAATGCCCAACGGTCATATAGTTTGTAGTGTTCATAGGTGTCTTTCCGTTGTAGTGTGTCTGTGCAATGCTGTTTCCTTCTAAAGGGCCTCATATCACTTGAAAGTGAAGCACCGCTCTCACAAAATGAAGCATTTAGCTCACCCACTCCAAGTGAGTCGGCTGCCATTTTCAGCTCCTTTGTACACATTATTTGTATTACAATGGAAGGAAACAACGATTGCCCTTCACGCAGTAAGTCTCAGGCTCAGCTTCCTACCCTTGGCTAACCCCAAAATGAGCATATTCCCTTCTTGGTGGGCCTACGTGACAATCCCGTCCAGCATGTGCATCTCACTCTTCATCTTCCCACTTTACCTCCTCAGCCCCAGCATAGTCCCAGTCAACATAGAAGATACAAGTAACATTAGGAAATGAAAGCTAGGAATTCAAGAAAATTACAATCACCGTGGAAATAATAATAAGTAAATTGTTGGAGCTATGGGCGGACAAGTCCCTAAGTCCTGATGATGTCATCCTAGTAGCTAGAGAGACAGTGATTCATCGGTTTTAATTTTCCAAAATTCCCTAGAACTGGGGAAGTTACCATTAGAATGAAAATCAGCAAAATGTAACTCCTTTATTTAGAAAGGGACAGAGAAAAAAGCAAGGACCTGTAGGCCAGTTGCCCTTAACACCTGTCAAAGGGAAGATGGTGGAAAATAATATTAAAAGATGTTATAGCAAGACGTTCAGAAAAATTCAAGATTATCAGGCAGTGTCAATATGGTTTTGTGAAAAGGAAATCATGTTTAACTAATTAATTGGAATGCTTTGAGGAAGAAATTATGTACTGTGTATGAAAGGGAATCAGTGGGATGTACTTTAGCTAGATTTCCAGAAGCCATTTAATAAAATGCCACATCAAAGGTTGTTGCAGGAATTGGCACAGATAGGACATTAGCTAGCTAACAGAAAACACTGAGTATGCATAACTGCACCACTTTCAGCATGGCAAGATGTAATAAAGTCTAAATTTGCTGATGTAACAAAGTCGGTAGGGAAGTGAGTTGTGAAGAAGACATCAGGAGACTACAAAGTGATATAGATAGGTTAAATTAATGGACAAAGATCTTGCAAACTATCCATTTTGGTAGGAAGAATTAAAAAATAAGCACATTATTTAAATGGTGAGAGATTCCAAAGCTTTGATATATAGAAAGATCTGGGAGGCCAAGTGCATAAGTTGCAAAAATGTTAGCATGCAGGTACAGCAGGTAATTAGGAAAGCTAATAGAATGTTATTGTTTATTATGAGGGGAGTTGAATATAAAAATAGGGAGGTTATTCTTCAGTTATACTGAGCTCAAGGGGGTATACATGTGCTTCTGATTCATACATTTACCTGTCTCCCAGACTGCTGTTGGCGACTTGAGACCCTTAACCAGCCATTAATTGACCATTACTGGAGAGTCGTGAAAATCCCCACTGACCTTCTCATCCAGCAATTAATTGCTGAAGTGGTAAGCAAGTGGTGAGTTTCTCCAAATCGGCCCATTATTTCCTCTTTTCACCACTTTACCCACCAACTGGAGGGATGGAAAATCATGCCCACAATTTTATGCAACAGCTGGATAAACAATGTAAAATAAAAAGCCTTTTACTTACTTTCACTGGTGCAGAGCAGCGATACTTTGCTTTTACTTCGACACAACTGCCTATGTTAGGATGGGAAACAAGAAAACGTTTATTGGTACAAGGTGTATCTCAGCAATACATAACACTCTTATCAATATATATTATGAGTTTCTGCGTCCCTGCAGTCTTGTATGAGCTACATAGGTATGGGTTCACTTCAGAGTCTCACTCCAGAAACTAAGCAGAAAATCCAGGCTGACACATCAGTGCTGAGCTGAAGGGGCCCTGCGTTGGTTGACGTGCCACATTTCAGATGCAGCTCTGTCTGTTGTCATGACTGGAGGTTACAGATCCCATGGTACTTCTTTGAAGAACATCTTCAAGCATTATCTGGTCTTTGTTACACTGTCATATGAGAGAACTTTGAATTGTGCAATTTAACTGCCATGTTTCTCACATTACAACAATGATTTTCTCTTCAAGAATACTTATGGCAAGAATACTTTCAGACATTCTGAGGTAATAAAAAGCACTACAGAAATTTGTAATTTTTGTATAAACAATTAATTGTGTCGCAATATGGGCATTTATGTAGTTATGATGCATGCTGTAGTGTAGATTAAGTATGGCCATGGAGAGAGTGCAACAAAGGTTTGCCAGACTGATTCCTGGTTCGGTAGGACTGAGGTATGAAAAGAAACTGGGTCCATTAGGACTATATTCTCTGGATTTTAGAAAAATGAGGAGAGATCTCATAGAAACACGATTAGACAGGACAAATTCTGGAAGGATGTTTGAAATGACCAGGGAGTCTAGCACCCAGAGGTCACAGTCTAAATGATCTACCCCCTATCCTTTGAGATGAAGAGAAATTTCTTCTCGCAGAGAGTGGTTAACCTGTGTATATAGATATAGTTCTTAGGATTAAATAGTTCTTTGGGATCAAAGGGTAAGGGGTGAAAGTGGAAACAAGATACTGAGTTGGAAGATCAGCCACGTTCATATTGAATGGTACAGCAGTTTGAGGGGCCAAATGATCTACTCCTGTTCCTATTATCTATGTTTCTAAATAGGTATTAGACAAAAAATTCAAATCTGTAGTCAAACTGCTGTTATTTCTATCCTGTGTTATTGACACTTCAGATCATGAATACTATCTTGTCCACTGTCAATGATCTGATATGATCAATAGGTGGCACCATAACATTCAGAAGGAAGAAACCTGAGACACTCACTTTGCTATGTGAAAATACTCAAATAAATAACACGTCAAACATGGAAAGAGTTGACAAAATTAGCTAAAAAGAGCTTAATACTCTTATCTGTCACTTGCCTGTCATTTATTTTAATACATATGCCAACCTGTTTACTACAAATGGGTTAGCATCTTTTCAAAAATTGCAGATAAAAATACAAGGATACGGTATTGAGCATTTGTCTGCTGACGTCAGTGAGGAAAATTATCATTACCACCTTTGTGTCAGACAGTGTAAGATCAATCTCTGTTCTAAGTGTCTCTTGTTCTGAATTCTGTTACTGAAATCTAAAGGGATACCTAAATCTAGTGAGTGTGATTAAACCCCCTTCATCAGATGTGACGTGGAAGCCCGTTAAATCCTCCTAACCACCTCACTGACAAGGGCCGTCTATGGACGAAATATTCATGGATGATGAAAAAAACAAGTGCCAAAAACTGTCCATTAAATCTATTCCTGTAACTTACTAAATCTGGGTGCACAATCAAAGTTGACAAGAAGGGCAAGATTTGTAATAAGGTAACCACTGGGCAAATACTATGTTTGCAAACTGTCACGTAGCATTCTGTTATGGATGTTTTACTACATGTAATAGGACTTAATTTTCCTTAAAATTAATCCTTATTGATCTGAAGAGTAGTTAGTAGGCATGTAACGTTCTCAAGACGGTTTATAAGGCAATTATCAGTTAGTTTTGATGTATAGAAACCCAGGGAAAATTTACAGATAATGAATGGGATAAATAAACGAGACAGCAGTCTTTGAGTTCAGATAGAATTCAGGCTCAACAACAATTGGATTTCAAGATGCCTGGTCACACCTCCAAGGAAGTCAGGGTACAACAGCATGCTTCCATTAGCACTGCTGAAGAGTTTTATATTACTTGGGTCTGGCATTCAAATCCCATCACATATTTACTGACTGTTTCAAAGATTTGTTATGTCAAATGCTAATCTATAATTTCATTGATTGGTTTCACATATTAAACATTTTGAAAAATAGACACTGTAGACTTTAAAGATTGCTGCAGATCTTTTTACAGCCTTGAACTTTTCAAGTTTTTGGATGTTTCCGAAGTAGAGAATAGAGGGACATAACTAGAGGACTTTGCAGACTCTCACAGTTGCTAATTTCAAGGATTGCTTTGAGACCAATGAGGACACAGGTTTCATTTTATCGATGGGCTTGCCAGACACAGTACAAGTGAATGTCCACTAACTGTTGTAAGAGAATGTACATCTTCTTGTTAAGCAACAAAAAGTTTTGATCCAATTTGGAGGGGAGTGGGGGGCAATACACAACTGTCTGTTGGATTTCCACCATACCTTATTTGAGACTATGACTTCCAGTTGGAAAAATGTGACAGCAGCTATCTTGGCTGTTAAGTGCCAAGTCCAGCTATTGGTAGCAGAATAATCAAGAATTCACAGCTCTTTCACCAGAACCACCTTGAAATATCATAAGAGATCGATACAAGGACAAAAGAGACTGATACAAGCAGCTGCTGTATGCCTCCTCATCTCTCAAATGTCTGTCAAAAGCTATATCCCACTTAAAACATACCTGCTGCCAACAGTTTGTTTTAAAAACAAAAATGTCAGCTCAGCTCTACTGTCCACAGGAAAGACACCAGCCACCTATTTAACCAGTCATCAGAGGAAAATCTGATCATTTTTACATGAACTTTAATTGTTATTGTTGTGTTACCCTTGTATTTTTGTCTGCTTGTATGCACATGTGTGTTGCTGAGGTCAGAACTTATTTTCATTTTTGAATAATTTTCTGTATCTCTACCTGTGTGAGTTTAAGTAATAAAACTAAATCTTTGCTAGTAAACATATCTAGATGACTTTTTTCTTTACACTGAGCCACACATAATTGAGTATGTACCAAATTGGAAATATTTCATCCTTTTAAACATTCAATCTCTGTTCTAACCAACCCAGAGATGGGAAAAAGAGAGGAGTCAGTTCATCTCTCCTAATTTGTTCATAACATGGTGCTTACCCCTTTAGTAATAAGGCCTGTAGAGTGGAAACATTCTTAGTTTGCCAATTAGAACCCAGGCGTAACCACTTTCTACGTTGTGTTTGATTGTATTCTGACAATATTTGAGTGACTGAAGGGCCTCTGTGAACCAAACATATGACAGTTGTTAAAACAAGGGATAAAGGACATACTGAAAGCATTTCTATTTTGGTTATTGATTATTTGATCTGGCTTTCTTTTCCTAAAGCTACAAGAAACATGCAAAAACAAACTTTAAAACACTTTTTACACAAGTAGTAAATGCAGTTGTTAATCAAAATCTTTTCCATTTGTCTTTTTTTCAAAACTATAGAAATATTCGCTGGCCAGCAACAATTACTTTGATAAAGCAAATAAGTTATTAGATGGTCAATAAGTGAATTTTAAAATGTATTCTTTTCATGGGATGACTGATGGGCTGGTTGCTCACCCCTATTTACCCTTGAACTAGCTGTTTAGTTCTAACTCGAATTTTGTTCCCAAAGCATTAACCTAGCTCCCTGGATTGACAGTCCATTATCACTCCGCCACTGTCTCTTCTACTAATAACCTTAATAGAGTTCTGGAGCCTTGACCTGGTTTTCATCTTTTCTCAGAAAGGCACTTTCTCCCCAGTTTATCTTAAACAATTTAATGCACTAATCAATCATAACAGGGTTCAAACCTTTGCCATTAGGTACCTGGCTATCAGTGAGAATGTGGAATCAATAAATTTCCACCAATAGGGAAGTTTTGAGGCACATAATGTCTAAAAATGATTGCTTTAAACTCCTTTACAGTGACCCATTTATTGAAAAAGTCATAGCTTCTGTGTTTACAGTGAAGTTTTTACGAGAAACATTCAAATGGAAAGAAAGGCTAAGAGCTTGGAGAGAAAAGAATGGTTTAAATTTATAAATGATCAGAATCTCCCTATTTTTCCCTTTACTTGTCTTATTTCCTGTGTTTAGATGAATATTGAGTGCTTGTGCTATACCAAAAGAAATAATTTCTAAGAATTATCAAGGACATTTTGAATAATAGAGGAGTTGTTTTAAGTAACATTTTTGTCTTTTGTTATCCTTCAAACATTGGATCCTTATCATTTAGAAAAGATCTATAACAAGTATCTCCATCCTAGTTTCTTTCTGAGATGCTTAGTCATGCTTTGGATTGCATGAGAAGACACTTTCAATTTGGTTTTGGTTGCGGTACTAACTTTTCAATACTGGAAGCTAAGATTTGTCAAGGGGCAAGGAATAAGACCCTTACCACATTGTATTCCATCTGTCACTTCTTTGCCCACACTCCTAGCCTGCCCAAGTCCCTCTGCAGCCTCTCTGATTCCTCAGCACTGCCTGCCCCACCACCTATTATTGTGTCATCTGCAAACTTAGCAATAATGCCCTCAGTTCCTTCATCCAGAACGTTAATGCATAAAGTGAATAGTTATGGTTCCAACACTGAGCCCTGTGGAATATCACTAGTTATCGATTGCCATTCCCTAAAATGACACCTTTATCCCACTCTCTGTCTTCTGTCAGTCAGCCAATCTGCTTTCCATGCCAGTAACTTATCTTATTTTGTAGCCTCCTGTATGGCATCTTGTCAAAGGCCTTCTGGAAATCCAAATAGATCACGTCCACTGGCTCTCCTTTATCTAATTCACTCATTTCCTCTTCAAAGAATTCTAACAGATCTGTCAGGCATGACGTCCCCTTAATGAAGCCATGCTGACTCAATTCTATTTTACCATACAATTCCAAATACTCCGTAATCTCGTGCTTAATAATGGACTCTAAAATCTTACCAATGACTGAGGTCAGGCTTACCTTCTTCTGCCTCTTTCCCTTCTTAACATTTTCCAGTCCTCCAGCACCCTCCCTGACTGCAGTGATTCCTGAAAGATCACCATCAATGCCTCCACAATATCCTCAGCTATTTCCTTCAGAACTCTTGGTTTAGTCCATCAGATCCAGGTGATTTATCCACCTCCAGACCTTTTAGCTTCCCCAGCACCTTTTCCTTAGTGATGGCCACTATACACATCTCTGCCCCCAACTCTCTTGAAGTTCAGGTATGCTGCTGGTGTCTTCCATTTAAAGACTGATGCAAAATACCGATTCAGTTCCTCCACCATTTATTTGTTCCTCATTACTACTTTTCCAGCCTCATTTTCAGCAGTCTTTGTCTACTCTTGCGTCTCTTTTACCTTTTAGACATCTAAAAAAAACTTGCAATCTTCTTTCATATTACTAGCAAGCTTTAACCTCATATTTCATCTTCTCCCCCTATTTGTTTTTTCTAGTTGTCCTCTGTTGGTCTATAAAGGACTCCCAATCCTCTGACTTCCTACTTATCTTTACGAAATTGTACGTTTGTTCTTTTGCTTTTATGCTCTCTCTGAACATTCTATGTTAGACGTGGTTGCTTTGTCCTCCCCTTAATATGTTTCTTCTTCCTTGGAATGAATTTCTCCTGAATTATCCACAGAAACTCCTGCCATTGCTGCTCCACCATCTTCCCTGCTACGATCCCCTTCCAATAAAAACCGCAAGAACTGCGGATGCTGTAAATCAGAAACAAAAACAGAAGTTGCTGGAAAAGCTCAGCAACTGTGAAGAAAAATCAGAGTTAACGTTTCGGGTCCGGTGACCCTTCCTCAGAATTTCTGTTTTTGTCCCTTCTAATCAACAATAGACAGGTCGTCCTCACATCTTTGTAGTTACCTTTTCTCAATTGTAATACCATTACAGCTGAGCCCAGATTCTCATTCTCAACCTGCAGAGTGAATTGCACCATATTATGATCATTGCCCCTTAGGGTTTCCTTCACCTTAAACTTCCTAATCAAGTCTGTTTCATTACACATTACCAAAACCAGAATTCCACAAGCTGCCCCAAAGAAAATATCACATAGACATCGCACAGATTTCTTGGGATTTGCTACCAACTTGATTTTCCCAGTCCACCTGCATATTAAAGTCCCCCAGGATTACTGGAACAGTGCCTTAAACATCTTTTCTATCTCCTGATTTATTTTCAGCCCTATATCCTGACTATGGCCAGGAGGCCTGTACATGACTCTAATTGGGGTCTTTTTTCATTTGTAGTTCCTCAATTCTACCCAGATTCTATGCCTTCCAACTCTTTATCACTTCTTGCTTATTGATTTAATTTAATTTCTTACTTACAGGGCAACTCTGCCCAGTCTGCACATGTGCCTATGTGCCTGTCCTTTCGAATAGGATGTGCATCTTTGGATATTTAGGTCCTGGTCCTGAGTCCCTTGAAGCCACGTTTCTGTGTTGCCCATAACATCATACCCACCTATTTCAATCTGCGCTACAAGCTTATTTACCTTGTTTCATATACTGCACGCGTTTAAGTACAGCACCCTCGTCCTGAGTTGACTGCCTCCATTCTCATAGTCATCCCCTTATCTGCTGTGTCTGAAGTTAGATTTCTGACCTTTTCCATACTCTCTGTCTTATTGCTTTAAACCCTTTCCTGAACTGTAGCCCCCACAACCCCACCCCCAAATCCCTTTAACTTTATCCATAACTTTTCATGCAACTTAACCCTTTTCGGCATGATGTTAGCTACATCATGCTTGACACTAATAAACTGACAACCAACTTGGAAATACATTACCATCCCCTCAAATGAAGAAGGCAGCTCACCTATCACTTTCTCAGGTCATTGAAGACTGGCCTTAACTATAAACCTACATCCCAAAATTGAACTAGATTTTTTAATAGTCAGGTCAGATTTCAACAGTTTCTTGACTGATAAAGTGTTAAGGATAACTGAATGTTAAAAATGCATGGACTCAATCTTGAATCCAATCAACAATATTCAGCATACATTATTAAAAACAAAGCTTAATTCAAACCTTTTAACCTTACTGAAAGGTATTAAGGTCAGGATAAGGGTTACTTGCAATCTCAAAGGGTACTATTCTTAACAATGTTTAAAATTATCTTGAGGCAGAAATAAGAAAATAACATCATTTGTTTTAGGATTGCAAATCTGATACTTACATAATAACAATGGTCACTTAGACAAGATACAGCAAACTGTGTTGTACAACCATTCCCCAGCAACCTTCAACTCCCAAAAAACACAGTGGAACACATAGATTCAGGGGACTAGAGGAAGTTGGAGAGTCACACAACCAAACATAACAGACTGTGGAGGCAACATCCTGCATTTACACATTCAGCTCAGATTCTAGAAACATTCTTCAAAGCAGCATTGCCCTCACTATCTAACAGTGTTAAAACATTTACAGGATGTCTATAAAACTTGGGCGCATGCCATTTGTACTTCAGATTTTTTTTATTGTTTGAAAATCCATCATAAATTGCAAGGTAATCTATTTACAACTAGATAACACCCTTGACAGGGTCATGTTGTGACAAATGATGTTTGAAAGTCAAACTGAAGTCCTAGCACACGTCTGCCAGGGATCAGTAGGCACTTTATCCAAACTTCTTCAAGAAGTTCTTGTTTATGTTTTTATTACAATTGTCATTTTTGGCTCCATCTGGATTTGGTCTAGTGAAGAACATTAAGCTGAATTGCAGTATGACTCTACAACCCAACTTTTCAACACTTTGCCAAAGTGGCCATTTTTCTACCAGTGAGTGAATCAACTTTTCGTGAGTTCAAAAAAAAACCTAAAGGAGCACTTACAATGTCAATCAACAAGTTGTGGCTAAGCAGGCTAACACACTGCAGATGTATTGCAAATGCAGTTGAGTGTTGAAAGTGCCCCTTAGCCAAGAATCTACAGCACTACATGCTACTGACCTTACCCTAAACCAATCTGCTTGCACGCCAGCTGGCTGAGCTCTTCTTGCCAATCATCAGCACATACGTGATAGTCAGAAGTTGACCTGTGGACAACTAGCTGTGACAAGGAAGCTGCACTGTCCGACAGTGACACTGTAAACAAACAAACAGGAATAATAATATGTTATCATTGAATCATAAAGGACAGAAGGAGGCCATGTATTTTTTTTCATGGGATACAGGCATCGCTGGCTAGAACAGCATTTATTGGCCATCCTGAATTGCCCAGAGGACAGTAAAGGGTCCAGCACATTGTGTGTCTGCAGTCATATGTAGTTCAGACCAGGTAAGGATTGCAGATTTCCTTCCCTAAAGAACATTCCTAAAGTTAACTATATGAGTTGACCACATAGTCACCATTTTTTATTCTTGATTTTTATTAAAATCGAATTTCACCATCTGCCATGAGGCATTTGAACTCTCATCCCTGGAACATCAGTCTGTGAGTTCTGGTACAATGACATTATCACAACACCACCACATCCCCATGCTTCGGTTTTAATGCATGTGTGGTCCTTTCTAAAGCACTATCTAAATCGTCCTGCTCCCCACCCATCCCTACAGCATTGAATTGTTTTCCCTATTAAGTCTTTATCCAATTTCTTTATGAAAATTATGATTGAATAACCTTCAGTGGTATTCCAGATCATAATAACGTGCCCTGTAAAAATCAAATCTCATCTCTCTTTGATTCATGTGCCAATTAACTGAAATCTGTGCCCCATGGTTACTATCTGCTAGTAGTAACAGCTTCTCCTTAAATACTCTTACCCTTCATAACATTGTTCAACATAATTTAATCTCCCCTTAAGGTTCTCCAATCTGAGAATAATACCGGTGTCACTAATTTATTGTACTTTTCTATACATTTGTTCACTGCAATGAATTTTTATTAGATTATAACCATAATTATGCCATGTGTGGTATTTTACATTACCCCTGGGGCTGGATTGGCAGTCACCCACTGTAATCTTGCAGTGGCCCACATGATCCTGAGCCAATTGAAGCTATCAAACCTCCAATTAAGAAACACTTTAGAGACTCATCTGGCCCCACTACAATTTGTGCTGAGGTCGGTGCGGCTAGAGCTACATTTGCTGGAACTAGAGAGTTGCTAAATTCTTTAAAGATCTTTCAAGCCGTGTTCTGTATTTAAATGGATCGGTTTCTCTCTTTTCTTTTGTGTAATAAACTTCAATTTAATCGTTAAAGAAAATCTGTAGCCTTGTGTGCCCATTTTTCGGTGAATGACCACTATATTAAATAAAAATGACCCAACAAGCTAGATTTCATTCTGTGACCCAATTTGTCCAGTGATAACATAGTATGGAGCTGGATGAACACAGCAGGCCAGGCAGCATCAGAGGAGCAGGAAAGCTGATGTTTCAGGTCAGGACCCTTCTTCAGAAATGGGGGAGGGGAAGGGAGCTCTGAAATAAATAGAGAGGAGGGTTGGGGCTGGGGAAGGTAGGTGATAGGTGAGTGCAGGTAGGCAGTGGTGGGGATTGGTCAGTGAGGTAGGAGGAGCAGATAGGTGGGAGAGAAGATGAACAGGTTGTGTCAGGTCAAGGACACGGGGATGAGAGAAAGGGTTGGTCATATGATGAGACGGGGGTGGAGAGATTTTGAAACTAGTAACGTCCACATTGAGACCATTGGGTTGTAGGCTCCCGAGGTGAAATATGAGGTGCTGCTCCTTCAGTTTCCGGGTGATGTCGTTGTGGCACTGGCGGAGGCCCAGGATGGACATGTCGTCCAGGGAGTGGGAGGGGCAGTTGAAGTGGTTCGCGACTGGAAGGTGTTGTCGTTTGTTGCAAACAGAGTGCAGGTGCTCTACAAAGCGGTCTCTGAGCCTCCGCTTGGTCTCACTGATGTAGAGGAGGCCACATCAGGAACAGCGGATGCAGTAGACCACACTGACGGATGTGCAGGTGAAGTGTCTGCCACTTCCGTCACCTGCAATCTCACCCCACAACCAAGGATATGTTTCCTTTCCCACCACGATCTGCCTTCCGTAGGGACCGCTCTCTCCATGAATCCCTTGTCCGCTCCACACTCCCCACTAGCCCTACCACCTCTGGCACCTTTCCCTGCAACTGCAGGAAGTGCTACACCTGCCCCTACATCTCCCCCCTCACCTCCATCTCAGGCCCCAAAATAACCTTCCACATCAGACTGATGTTCACCTGCACATCCGTCAATGTGGTCTGCATCTGCATCTGCTGCTCCCGATGTGGCCTTCTCTACATCAGTGAGACCAAGTGGAGGCTCAGAGACCATTTTGCAGAGCACCTGCACTCTGTTCGTGACAAACGACAACACCTTCCAGTCCCGAACCATTTCAATTCCCCCTCCCACTCCCAGACGACATGTCCATCCTGGGCATCCTCCAGTGTCACAATGACACCACCCAGAAACTGGAGGAGCAGCGTTTCATATTCCGCCTTGGGAGCCTACAACCCAATGGTCTCAATGTGGACTTTACTGGCTTCAAAACCTCCCCATCCCCGACCTCATCCCATGACCAACCCTCCCTCTCATCCCCGTGTCCTTGACCTGTCCATCTTCTCTCCTACCTATCCGCTCCTCCCACCTCACTGACCAATCCCCACCACTGCCTACCTGCACTCACCTATCACCATCCCACCTAACTTCCCCAGCCCCACTCCTTCTCTCTCTATTTATTTCGGAGCTCCCGCCACCTCCCCCATTTCTGAAGAAGGGTCCTGACCAGAAACGTCAGCTTTCCTGCTCCTCTGATGCTGCCTGGCCTGCTGTGTTCCTCCAGCTCCACACTGTGTTATCCCTGACTCCAGCATCGGTAGTTCTGACTATCTCTCTTGTCCAGTGATAACATCAGCTGGGATCAGTACTTGAATTGGCAGGACTGTGATGTCGCAGCACTGAGCAGACTACGAATGCATTTGTATAGCAATGAATGTTTCCTACTAGCTAGCAAGTTGCAAGAGTAATATGGGGGTGCCACAGCGGCTCATTGGTTTACACTGCTGCCTCACAGCGTCAGGAAACCAGAACTGATTCCAGCCTTGGGTGACTGTGCAAACTTTACACATTTTCCCTGTGTTTGCATGGGTTTCCTCTAGGTGTTGCACTTTCCTGCCACAGTCCAAAGATGTGCAGGTTAGTTGGATTGGTCGAGGAAAGTGCAGAATTACAAGGATAGGGTTAGGGTGGGATGCTCTTTGGAGGGTCAGTATTGACTCAATGGGCTGAATGGCCTGCTTCCACACTGTAGGGATTAGTTTCATGTCCTACTGATGCAGCAAGGGTTTGTGAAAACTCAGTAGCTCATAGTCATAGAGTCACAGAGTGGAAACAAACCTTTCGGTCCAACCAGTCCGTGCTGAACATAATCTCAAACTAAACTAGTTCTGCCTGCCTGCTCCTAGCCCATTTCCCTCCAGACCTTTCCTATTCATGTATCCATCCAAATGTTTTTTAAATGTTGTAATTGTACCCACATCGACCACTTCATTAGGAAGTTCATTCCACACGCGAACCACCCTCAGTGTAAAAACTTTGCCTCTTATGTCGTTTTTAAATCTCTTTCCTCTCACCTTAAAAAAGTGCCCCTAGTCTTGAAATTCCCCATCTTAGGGAAAAGACAACTACCATCAACTCTATCTATACCTCTCATTATCTTATAAACTTGTATCAGGTCACCTCTCAACTTCCAGTAAAAAAATGTCCCAGCCTATCCAGTCTTAAGCCTTCCATACCTGGCAACATCCTGGTAAATCTCTTCTGAACCTCTCCAGCTTGATATTATCCTTCCTGTAACTGGGCGACCAGAACTGGATACAGTATTCCAGAAGAGGCCTCACCAACATCCTGTACAAACTCAACATAAAATTCCCAACTCCTATACTCAAAGGACTGAGCAATGAAGGCAAGCGTGCCAAATGCCTTTTTAACCACCAAAACTTTTTGACGAAACTTCAAAGAATTATGTACCTGCACCCCTAGGTCCCTCTGTTCTATAATGCTACCCAAGGCCCTATTATTAACTGTATAAGCCCTACCCTGTCTGTTGTTCTCAAATGCAATACCTCGCATTTATCCAGATGGAACTCCATTTGCCATTTTTCAGCCCATTGACCCATTTGATCAAGATCCCTTTGTAATCTTAGAAAACCTTCTTCATAATTACAGTTTCAGCAGTAATGCTATACCAGGTTAAGAAACAGTAGCATTAATAATCAAAGAATAGCATAAATCACTGATAGCAGAGCCAACAGTCCAAAATTAAGCAAAATGAACTTGGGAGTCTAGCCCATGAGGTGAGGGAATAGTGTCCTAATCAACCAAAGGTTATGTAATACTCACCACAGTTCCATTCATCTGAGCCATCAGGGCAATCTCTCTGCCCATCACACCAAACATGACGGGGAACACAGGCATGGTTAACACAGACTACCTCATTGTCTTTACAAGATGCTAGAAAAAAAAAGCAGAAGGAATCAGAAATATCTTTAAAATAAGCCATAAAATATTCTGTCCTATTTCTTGACAGAGTAGAATAGCTCAAATTTTAGAAGAAAATAAACCTAACTCACAGACAAATCCATCCAAGGCTATTGCTCCATGCAAATATTCCTTAAATGTTACTCAAAGAAAATAAACAATTTCATGTTTGAAATTAAGAATATCTTGAGTTTGGTTGAATTAACTTGGTTCTCTTTGAGTTTTACAATATTTTTAAACTTTTAATTCAAAACAAATTTTCTAAGACACACACCTGACAAAGAGGATGAGCGTATTCCCTAAACATAGAACATAGAACATAGAACATTACAGCGCTGTACAGGCCCTTCGGCCCTCGATGTTGCGCCGACCTGTGAAACCAATCTGAAGCCCATCTAACCTAAAATATTCCATTATCATCCATATGTTTATCCAATGGCCATTTAAATGCCCTTAAAGTGGGCATTTCGTTACACCCTGCTGTAAAATGTCTTGACCATTTCCCATGACAGACCAATCCCATCTTGAACTCCAATTAGTTACTGAAGGGTAGCTTCTCCTTTGAAAGTATATGGCTGTAATTGTTCACCTCCTATAATTGCAAGTGCTATATTGCTTTCTCTATTAAGAAAATTAAACTGAAGTTCTGAAAAAATATTTTCAAAATCATATTCCTGCATTTGAATGAAATATTTGACTTGTGAAAATGTAAAATAAAATACAATTATTAAATAAACCACATCAGGGTATGCAATTCAGTAAAAACTTCAATACCAACAATTTATGAAAGAAATTCTAATAAGGCAAATGCAGTAAGCAGACTTTACATGTTAACTCGTGAATTTTGAAAGCCCATTCACTCCTGAGAGAGACCTCAGTCACAGTTCTGTTTGTCCCTCATCAGTTATGGTTTCGTCGCACAGTTGGAACAGCCTAGTAATTCATAGTCATCAGAAGAATAGCCTCTATGTTAAAATAATAGAAACTTTTGATTTTGTGTTATGCAGATAATCTCAAATTCCTAGTGTTATCTAAACACTTTGTCTCATAGGTCATGGCCTTGTAATGGGGAAAACACATTACGACAATGTAGGGTGCTGATTACGCTCAGTGTACTGAGTAGTTGCAGAGCTATATTAATATTTACAAAATCTGTATGTTTAGCTGAATAAATTTGGAACAGAAAGATGATTGCAAAAGCACATTGCTAGATGCATTAAAAAGGACATGCTCTAAGCAAAACATTCAATTTGGTAACAAAAGAAATTGAAAACACCAATGGGGATTTACAGCAATTCTTTTCGTCTGCTTTGTCAGCACAGTCCTGGAAGCCATCACAGATCATTGTACGCTCGATACAGGTCTTGTCAATGGTGCATTCCCACAGGCCTCTCTCACTACAACCTGAGAACAAATGAGAAGAAGTCAAGAGGACTAAAGAGTTGGATTGACTATCAGTTTTTATGGAAATTTAATAAACAGAAGTAACAAATAAAATATTTATCATTTACAATGAATGTTTACTGAATTATCCTATTGTTCTTATCTCAGAAAGGCGTCTTAAAATTTGTTTTCCAAGACCAAAGTATTCAGGTGTCAAAATGAATGCCCTGGGCTGAAACCTCAATGAAGTAGTCTGAAATCATCACACCTATTAGATGACAGAATTTCTTCATATCCTCCTACCAATTTCCAATAGTTGCTCACTGGTCTCTGATAGCCACAGCAGAGATACTGGTCCACGCTTATCCCAGTCCAGAAATAATCAAATGTCTCAACATAAAGAATTCTGCAGTCCTTCTTGAAGTCAAGATGGGCAAACAACACAATGAACCCAAATCCTAATACAGTCCATATTATACTTTACTGGATTCAATGTTAAGCGTAAGGAATAAAAACAGAATACTGGAAGCGATCAGCAAGTCAGACAATATTTGTGGTGGCAGAAACAAAGTTAACTTTACAGGTCAAGGATCTTTCATTCTGTTTCCCTATTTATGGATGTTGCCTAATCTAAGAGGCATTTTTTTTGCCCTTATTTTGGATCTTGCTATTGTTTACCATCCTCAGGAATTTTTCCTGCTATTTAAACTGGTGGTTTGGCAGATAATACATCTTTGTATAGTGTTACAATTGTGAGGTATACAAGAGTTTTAAGTTCTAGAATTGTGTCCTTTAGACTATAAAATTATTATTGTTTGGGATTGTTACTTTATTCAGAGCCTGGGGTTTCTAAGTCCACAATGAATAGACAGAGTATCCCAAAAAGAACAATAATAAGTATCAAGTTGTAAACAGTTGTGTTATAACTGTCTCTTTATTTCCGAAACAAAATTTGGATCTAGAATTAATTATTAGAATTTTTTCCTAGATATAAAGCTAATGTGTTTCCCATTGCCACGGGCAAGATGGCAGTGGGAGTCATTTTGTGATTAAGTTAGAGGTGTCTCAGTGAACATCATAAAGAGGGAAGTTTACGGTTTTGTCATGCATAGTCTGCAGTCATGTGAGAGGTAGAGGCCAAGGCGTAGAAATGGCCAGGCCTATACCTTAGTTGGGAATATACAGATTAGTTGTTCACCACACAGCTCAGGAGTGAAAGCCCACACTCAGCCTGAACACTGAAGATTAAAGGAGGATTCATTCAGCTTGGAGCATCTGACCACTCCCAAACTGCACTGACCTCTCCCATCTGACCTCCTTCAAAATGCCCCGTGACCATCTGGCAGCTGCCTCTGTAAAATGTGAGTGAATGAAAGGTGCTCCACTCACTGTCCTGGCACCACAAAAATGATAGGTGCCATGTTCAATTGGTGGATGTTCTGGGTTTTGGCCACACTTCACTTCCTGTCATTTGGGGAAGTTTTCCTTTCATAACTTCAGTTTCTGTATTAAAATGTAGCATAAAGTTTCTTTAAAGTTTTAAATGATTTCAAACCTTTCAGTCTGTACTATATGCAGAAAACAATTCAACCATGGTATTAGAAATGAGCAAATACATTGTATGTTGGTCAAATACTACCATGTTACACTTTCTCTTCCTAAATTTCTGTCACTCCACCTACCTCTTTATTTAAAACTATCTTTAAAACTCACTTCTTTAGCAAGATTTTTAATCACCACTCTTAATAACTTGTTTTTTGGTTCAGCATTAAGTTTTTTCGTATTATGCTACCCAGAAGCAACTTGGTAATGTTTTAGTATGTTAAAGATGTGATACAAATGTGAGTTGTTGCTGCTGTTTTGTTAAAAAATATACAATTATCAAGCTTAAAAATGGCCCAAGATAAAAGTGTACTTCTTTGTGCATTTTTAAAACTTTATTTGAAGTTTCTTATTGCAATGTACTTCTTATGTAACTTTGTTTTTGGGTAGCAATAATTATATGCAGTACACAAGTCTTTGGAAGGAAACATCACTGTATTGACACAGCAATCTGTTGTAGTGAAATCAAATGGACTACTGAGTGGTACAATCTGTTATAACAACTTTAAACTGCTCTTTTACAGAAAAGTCAGTTGCCATGTGTGAATACTCAATTGCACTAACGGCTTTAGAAGCTTGCTCTTGCATACTTACTGAATAAAATTCAATTTTTAAAGAAGTGGTATTCCTAGCTACATAAAACCTCAATAAATCTAATTACTAACAGATACACTAAAGGATGTTGGTGAAATATTTAAAAAATAAAGAACAAAAGCTACCACATATGGTATATATGCATAATGTAGTTGAGGAGGTTGGTCAAATCTCTACTAATCTGAGAGAATACACTAAAATTCATTCAAAGACTCTTGTGGTGCAGTGTAAATTCAAGTTCCACCTGCTCCACAGGTTGATTAAAAACATCTGAACTAAAATTCATTTATTCTAAGATAGACAATTCAATGTATGATTTGTACATTTTAAAGTTGTATTTTTATTTAAATAATGCAGTTTTGGAGTGGACAAATTTCAACTTTTCCAATACAATGAAGTCTCAAATGAGCAATGGATTCATGCTGCCTGCAGGAAATCTATATTAGGAGCCCTGGACCATTTCCAATCTCCAAACATTAAATTCAGCCTGCAAACTGCAGACATTATGTTGGTGTTCCAACACAACTCACTGGTTGTGAGGGGAACATAATTGGCCAACTCTGACTTTCGCCAAAGTGAAAGGGCAAATTCCAACACACCACCATATTGTCTGTTGTGTGCTGGGTGATTGAGTGGTACATTTGAATAATTAGTTTAATTTAAAGAAAAATTATCTAAATCAGCCACATCACCGCTGTCAATTCTACCATATACGCTAATAGCCAAATTCAAATCTGTCATCCAAACTTACAACAAAGAGCAGGCACTTTGTTGCAATTTTGTCAGTACAGGCTGGCTGATAAACTATTCAAGGCGGATTTACCTATTGATTTCCAAAATTTGCTACTTCCAGTGTGAGCAGTGACTTGGCACTTAGCACTTCCTGAATGTTGTCATCCCCATTTCTTATTGCTATTGCAAAGCAAGTTGCAGGCTAGCTAGCACAGAGATAGAGGACCGGATTCTGTTGTTCCCATGCAGGGCAAACCTATATTCTGAAAGGAAAAGAGGTGGGTATGACCGAATGTTGAGATTTCCCACTCAACTGCCATCATGCAGTATTTTTAAAGGGCATGGGATTTCAGATCCCCCACAATTTTCATGGAATCATACCAATTTTTGCAGGTTTCTGAGGAAGATGTGATTCATATCAGTTGAAGAAGAAATGGTAGTAGATAAGCAATGTTTTTGAAAAATCACTATTTACAAAGAATTATTTCACATGACAAAGGGAGCTAGCAGAACCTTTTAATCCAAGACCTTTTGAAAAAGAGAGGTCAAAGACTCACAGTCCTTAGACAGAAAAAAAATCTCATGTCAGAGGAAACCTTTTGACAGGTAGGTTTAAAAGGTTTTGCTAACTTCACATGTCATCATATAATCACGTTTGATAATTTAATTGTATTTTAATGCAGTATTGATGATGCAGTGGCTTTGGTAAGAAACCTTTAATGTTTAACCAGTAAATTGACCAGTATTATGGAAGTGGAAAACTCTTCACTCTTTTAATTCATCTCATGTATAAAGTGGTTTACTTCATTAAACAGTATTGGGATTCAGATATTACTCTGAAAAATCTTGCACTTTCGGTGTTAAATCTAAAGAAAATTAAACTTGTAACTGTGAGAAACATGGTTGCAAGAATCGATTGGGAAACTAAATTAGAAGAAATGGTAGTAGATAAGCAATGCTTTTGAAAAATCACTATTTACAAAGAATCATTTCACATCAAGTTAGCGCAACTTTTTAAACCACCACATTTTGAAAAGGAGAGGTCAAAGACTCACAGTCCTCAGAGAGAAAAAAAATCTCCTTCTCGGTCTTACTTATTTTTAAATTAGTTATCCCCAATTCTAGATTCTCCCACAAGAGGAAACATCCACTCCTTTTCTAGCCTTGACAAGCCCCCTCAGGATCTTATATGTTTAAATCAATTTGCCTCAGAATTTTCTAAACTCCAGCAAACACAAGCTTAGCCTGTCCAAGAGATAGTAAGAACTGCCGACGCTGGAGTCAGAGATGACACAGTGTGGAGCTGGAGGAACACAGCAGGCCAGGCAGCATCAGAGGAGCAGGAAAGCTGACGTTTTGGGTCGGGATCTTTCTTCAGAAATGGCCCCGTTGTTGGGATCTCTGAACCTTCCTGAGGTTCACAGCATTGTACAATGCAAAAATCATATCAAAAAACGTCCGAAGATACTGGATACTGCAAAAGGCTATGGTCTCGGACAATAGGTCCAGCAATAATTATGAAAATCTGTGCCAAAAGAACTAGTCACACCCCAACCAAGCTTTTCCAGTAAAGGTACAAAACTAGAATGTATTGGACAATGTGGAAATTTGCAACAGGCATATCTCATGCATAAAAAAGCAGGATTGATCCAACATGGACTAATATCAGCCTACTCTCAATCATCAACAAAGTGAGAAGAAAGAGTCATCAATATGCCATCAAACAGCATTTATAAAAGAACAACCCGGTCACAAATGCTCAGTGAGTGATTTACCAGGGCTACTCAGTTCCTGACCTCATTACAGACTTGGTCAAAGCATGGTCAAAAGAGATGAACTCCAGGTGTGAATGACTACCCTTGATATCAAGACAGCATTTGACAGAGTCTGGCATCAAGGAGCCCTAGTAAAACTGGAGTCAATGGGAATGAGGGGATAACTCTATAATGGTCATATCTGACACAAAGGAAGGTAGTTGTGGTTGGAGATCAATCATCTCAGCTTCAGAACATTACTGCTGGAGTTTCTAAATGTCATGTTCCAGGCACAACTATCTTCAACTGCTTCATCATTGACTTTTCCCTCCATCAAAAGGTCAGGCGTAGGGAATCTTTCCTATTGTTTGCACAATGTTTTGCATCATTTGCAACAGCTCAGACACTGAAGCAGTCCATATCCATACGTAGCAAGCCCTGGTCAACTCCCTTGTGCTGATAAATACAAGTAATATTAGCACTACATCAGGGCTAGTGACTGACCATCTCCAATAAGAAAGAATCTAACCATTATCGCTTGACTTTCAGTGGCATTATCATTGCTGAATCTCCTACCATCAACATGCAAAGGGGTTACCATCGACCAAAAACTAGCTGGACCAGCTATAATTAGTGTGGCTGTAAGTGGTGGTCAGAGACCAGGAATTCTGCAGCAAATAACTCACCTCCTGTTTCCCCAGTGCCCATCCACGATCCACAAGGCACAAGTCAGATAGGATATTTCCCACTTGCTTGGATGTGTGCAGCTCTAACGACACTCAAGATCAACATCACCCAGGACAAAGCAGCCCACTTGATTGACTCACATCCATCACCTATATTCACTTCCTTCATCACTGATGTATAGTAACAGCAATATGCACCATTTACAAGACGCACTGTAAGATGTCACCAAGGCTCCTTCAACAGCACCTTTCAATCTACAACTTTTCCCATCAAAAGGACAAGCAGCAGCTACATAGGAACACCACAACTTGCACAATCCTCTCCATGTCACACACCATACTGACTTGGAAATGTAATGCTGTTTGTTCACAGATGCTGAGTCAAAATCCTGGAACTCCTTCTCAACCAGCATTGTGGTTTTCTCTACACAGCATGGGGGCCTGCAGCAGTTCAAGAATTCAGCTCACCACCACTTTCTCCATGGCATTTAACGACAGACAGTTAATACTGGCCCAGTCAGTTATGCCTATATCCCTTGACTGACTGAAGACTGACGTGGAACAGGCTGAATGGACAAGGAGGTCTTTCCCAGTCTCCTATTGTTCATACATTAACTTTTTAAAAAATCAGAATGATAATTTTTTGCTTGAAATGTTGGATTGTGGAGAAAGATATGGCAAAAAACCATGGGGTCAAATGATTCAACTAGGTTTCTAAAACGGACTGCTTAATGCGTCACATTCACAATAATCTGCCTGCAGTAGAAAGCAGACAACCTCATGTACTGATTGTTACTAGGAGCTACTTGTTTGTTGATTGTTATAGTGCTTACATTATCACCAGCAACCTGACAAGTTAGCAGTATAATGACACCAGTCCAACACAGATTAACTACTTAAAATCTGCTTCAAAAAAAAATTTCCATTTACAACAAACTTTTCAAAGTTTTCCTAAAGGTCAAATGGAGAATAGGTTTTAAAAGTGTTTAACAAGGGCAGTGGAATAGAACTCCTCTTACCTCTTGAATCCGGCATCAGTATCAAGCATTCCCAGGTCAGTTACAGCACAGCCAGATGCAAACTAAAAGGTCCTTACACTCTGACCCAACAATGTCCTCAAAGTCCAATTTCAGAGGAGAAAACTTGGCTCCAGCATGGTGACATTTTTCCATTTTACACACGAGGTGTGGGGTATTAATGGAGACAGCAAGGGTCTCACCTGCTGCCTACAGAGCTAGGGTTCCAGCAAAAGCCCCACATTGTCTCCTCACTGGAGAGTCCATCAGACTAAGTGCCACTTAACTGAATAGCCAGCCTGCCCCAGGATTAAGGACCAAGGTGTGGATATCCTGCCAGCCTAAAGTTACCAGTCAATTACATTTTGGATGCTCTACTTAACAGCAGCACCAATGAAGAAATAGGCATTGCTGCCAGTCCGTCACTTAGCCAAGGCCTAGAATGTTTGATGCATCCCAGGCTACAAGTCAATAATGACAAGAAGGTGCTGGTGGTGTTGCAGTCACGTTTAAGCCAGTCCGCAGCAAGGGTAGACGGATGGCTCTCACCCTGCCCACCCTTCCTAATATTCACTCATGGATCAGGCACTGCGCCTTCGAATGAGTGACCACAACCCCAGAGTCCAAATGCATCACTGATGACGAGACGGGGATCGGGTTGGAATTAATTGTTGAGTAAGGACCCCAATTGTGAGCAATTCTGGAAAGCTATTCAAAGACCTCCACACCTTTCAATTTGCATCTGGCTGTGCTGTAACTGACCTGGGAGTGCTTGATACTGATGCTGGATTCAAGAAGTAGGAAAAATTCTATTCCACTGCCCTAATTAATCAGTGTGGAGTTGGAAAGCTCAAGCAATCTCAACATGCTTCCTTCCCACCTGATTGAATATACCTTTTATCAAAAGTTCCAGAGGGGGTGTGCATTATGTTCTGCCCTAGCTATCCTTTACCTCCTTTTTGTGCAGTTGTGTGCTGCAGGTCCATGTCGAGTGTGAACTAGAAACACTACACTGAAGGCTGTCATATTGCACTCAATAAGACTGGGATGCAAGAAAATAAACTTTGAAAGGGAACAACAATTTATACAGCAAGAGAAGATGGCGTTAATTTGCTTGGACCATTGTAGGCGTGGAGCTGGTGCAGCAATGCTAACTGTCAATCATAGGAAGCTGATTAAACTCCAACAAGGCACATAGACTCAGATTGGTCAGGATGTTATCATGGAAAATACAACACAGATCGGCAGTTTCCATAATCCTTTCACCCACAAAGAACAGGGTGTGAATGTATATAGCTTCTAGCAAGTGACAATGAATCAAACTGTGAGCCCAACTGATAATTCGAAATTAGTTTCCAGTGTAATTCTTACTTAGCAAATGTTGTCCAATAGCAGAATTAGATCTAACAAGACCATAGGTGCAGGACCAGAAGTAGGCCATTCAGCCCATTCAGCATTCAGTAAGATTGTGGCTGAACTGATAATTCTCAATTCCACTTTCTTGCCTTTCCCCATAACCCTGGATTCCCCTACTGATTAAAAATCTATGTCAGACTTGAATATCATTAATGACTCAGCTTCAACAGCCCTTTTCAGTAAAGAATTCCACAGATTTGCTACACTCAAAGAAGAAATTTCTCCTTGTTTCCATCTTAAATATGCAACCCCTTATTCTGAGATTATGCTCTCTGGTCCCAGACTCTCCCACAAGGGGAAAACAATCTTTCCACTAAGACTCTTGTATGTTTCAATAAGGTCACCTACCATTCTTCTGTATGATACACACCAATGAGTTTAGGCCCAACCTACTGAACCTCTTCCCTTAAGGAAACCCTTCCTTACCTGTGATCAACTTAGTGACCATTTTCCGGACTGCCTTCAATTCTAGTATATCTTTCCCTAAATAAGGGGCACAAAACTGTTCACAGTTTTCTGGTTATGGCCTGACTGGTGACTTGTATAATTTTAATGACGGTTCCCCACTTTTACACTCTATTCCCTTTGAAATAAAGGCCAAAATTCCATTTGCCTTCCTTATTACCTGCTGAACTTGAATGCTAGTTTTTTTGTAATTTATGCACAAGGACTACTAGGCTGCAGAAAGCTGTAGCTTTTTCTCCTTTGAATGCTATTCATCTCCTCTATTCTTCCTGTCAGCATAACATCACATTTTCCCACATTATGTTCCATCTGCCAAGATTTTGCCCACTCACTTAACCTGTCTGTATTCCTCTGCAGGCTCTTTGTGTCATTCTCGCCTCTTGCCTTTCCACATATATTGGTGTCATCTGCAAACTTGGCAATGGTGCATTCACTTTCTTCATCCAAGTCAATAGTATTTATTGTAAATAATGGTGGTCCCAGTACTAATCCTTGTGGTAATTCATTCGATATAGGTTGCCGTCTTAAAATGTTGCCTCCATGATGCTGGGCATGGTGTTGTGAGGTTTGTGAGCACAGACTGGTTGAGTGCGGTCACCATGCTGCCTGCTACAGATGCTCAAAGGGACATGTTTATTTCAAAAATGTCTGCCAGTTGCAGGACATACGACCTGCATACCTGACATCACATTGGTGCGAAAGTCATATACCACATTATACATTTGTGAGGTAGGTAAAATACTTTTGACATTCTGTTTGTGGACAGTACTACTCATGTTTACTGCAGAGTAGTAATGTGAGACAGCTAGCTTCACATGTTGCTCACATTTTTAAGATATCTTCCCTTTTGACTGTAGTGGAAGATAGAATAGCTGAGCACCTTTCAGTGTCAGAAGAGCCTGCCAGAAACCTTTTCAAGATTTTGCATAGTATACAGCGAATAACGATGTGATTAGGATAGTCATTTTCATGCAGGATAGTTTTGATACACCCATCTTAGCATTTGATTTATATTGGGAGCGGATGACTAGTTGCCAAGGTGGCTGAACTTGTAGCACCTGAAACTGTATGAACCTCAACATGTATATTGACCAGTGAAAATAGACTTGTGGGAGAAAATAATAGAAAGCCCATTGGCAAATTTCTCAACCAATGCATCAAGCAAATGCTTTGACTGCTCCATTTCAACAGTAAATGTGTGGAACAATCAAGAAGATTAAGACTAGTTAAACTCAAATTCACACAGGAAACCTTTACAGACAGTTTACAGTGGAGATTTTCTCAGTTTCGGCTGGATTTTATCTTGGGTCTTGGGAATAAATGTGTAGCATATGCACCCAGTTCCTGGTAGACATGTTTTTAATATTAAAAAAGTCATATTTTATGTACAACACTAGTAGAAATTTTGCTGTAGTCTGTTGGGAAATTAAAATGTAGTATCTTCACAGCAGGAATGTAAGCATAGCATACCACATGCTTCCTCATCGCTAAAATCATCACAGTCTGGTCGTCGATCACACCTCTTTGATGCCAAGACACATCTCCCTGATTTACACTTGAAATGACTTGGGGAGCACTCTGTAAATAAAACAGTAAATCATTCCGTCAATACACTTCCATTGCATCCGGTGAGGGTGGTTATACATGGTAGGCTTTTGATACAGGCAGGCCCCCTATTTCTAACATTATTTTAGCATTTTCATTACATTAAATAATTGGGAATTTAATCGCATTATGAACTTATGGTTAGTTGGGGAAGTATAAACTGTGAGAAGACATTTATATTGAATCACAATACGGAGCAAATTTGACACCTCCAGCAGGCTTGTTTGAGACTGCAAGTAAAGTTCATTCAATTATTTAATTTACAGCAGAATATTTGAATCAATTCATTGCACATGTTTACTGAATAGTTCAAGACCTCTTGCAACCTACAGTGAAACCTACCATCTTAATACAAAACCTACTGGGATTGCTTTCAGTTGAGGCCAGGGTTCCTTCGAATTTAAATATGATAACTTGCTGCAGAAAGTAACCTGATTTATGGATGCTATTCAAAGTTATTCATAAAAACAATCCAAAGTCAGGAATTTGTTTTTAGAGAGCTACTGAATGTCCACTTCTTCTATCACAATGACATTGCCCTACGATGCCTTAGCTCTGTCGTTGCTGAAATACTTATTCCTGCTTCTGTCATCCTCAGACTGGGCTTTTGCCATACTCTCCTGGTCCACCTTGTATCTTCGAACCTTCAGGAACTTCAGCTCATCCAAACTCTTCTTTTCAAATTGTGACCCACACTGAGCCTAATTAACCCTACACTCTATGCCTGGGTCTACATGGACTCCCAAATCTCTACAATTTACACTTTTTATCTTTCTGTTCAATGTGCAAACAATCAAAATAGCAGCAGTAGTAGACCACAGAATCATCACAGAATCCCTACAGTGTGGAAACAGGCCACTCAGCCCAACCATCCCACAACACCTCTGCAAATACCGTGCACCCAGACTCAACCCCTACCCTATCCCTGTAACACTGCATGACCCATGGCTAATCCACCTAACCTACACATCCCTAGACACTACGGGCAATTTCAAATGGCCAATCCACCTAATCTGCACATCTTTGGACTGTGGGAGGAAACCAGAACACCCAGAGGAAACCCACGCAGACACGGGGAGAATGTGCAAACTCCACACAGACAGTCGCTAGAGGCAGGAGTTGAACACGGGTCCCTGGCGCTGTGAGGCAGCAGTGCTAACCACTGAGCCACCGTGCCGCTCTTAAGCAGTGTTGGCAGTGACTCTTGGCTCATAGGACCAATGCATGGACTTCTGGAATGGCAGCATAGCATCCACTGCAGCACTCTAAAAGTCTTACACATTTCAATAAGGTCTCCTCTCATTCCTCTAAATTCCAATGATCCCAAGCTACTCAACCTCTCCTCGTAAGAATGCCGCTCCATATCCAGGATCAACTTATTGAACGTTCCCTGTAAAGTCTCCAATGGCAGGATATCTTTCGTTAGATAAGGGGACAAAAGCTGTTCTTAGTATTCCTGCTATGGTCTGATCAGTACCTTGTATAGTTTAAGCAAGACATTCTTATTTTTATACTTTATTCCCTTTGAAATAAAAGTCAACATTCCATCTACCTTCTTTATTACCCACTGAGCCTGGATGCTTACATTTTGTGAATCATGCACAAGGATCCCCAAAATTCCTCTATGCTATAGCTTTCTGCAGTCTTTCTCCCTATAAATAACATTCAGCTATTCTATTCTTCCTGCCAAAGTGTATATTCTCACATTCTCTCACATTATAGTCAATATGCCAAGTTTGTGCCAACACTTAACCTGTCTATATTCCACTATAGACTCCTTGTGTCATCCTCATTACTTGCCTTGCCACCTATATTTGTATCAAGCTCAAATCGTCAGGTTGGGCCATCACCAGTTCTCTCTATAACGGAGAGCAGCCCTATGGTACGGTAGGATTTTAGTGATTTTAATTTACTACCCCAACCACCATGGGGTCATACTTTATGCTGGCCTTATGTGGAGTACCTTATAGAATGTCTTTTTGGAAATTCAACTATACCACATCTATTGTTTCACTTTTAACTACTCTGGCTGTTTCCTCTTCAATAAATTTGTCAGGCATGGTTTCCCCTTCATGAAGCCATGCTGACTCTGCTTGATTATGTATTACTCAATGCTCTTCTATTACATCCTTTGTATAAGACAGACATTTTCCCAACAACAGATTATATGCTATCTGGCCTGGGCATCACAAAAGGCTTTCAATAAATTGCTATAAAAAAGGCTATTGTACAAAATAAGAGCTCAATGAGGTGTTGAAGCTGAGGGTTCAGATGGTAGTACTATAATTCAATAGATAACTAACAAGAAGCAGATAGTCAGAATAAACATATCGTTTCAGGTTGGCAAATTATAATCAGTGGGGTCAAATGGGCTTTACTGCTGGGGCCTCAATTATTTATAATCCATATTAATGACTTGGATGGAGGAACCAAGTATATTGTTGCTAAATTTGTTCATGACACAAAGGTAGGTATTAAACCAAGCAATGGTGAGGAGACAAAGATTCTGCGAAGAATATAGAGAGATTAAGCATGGGGTAGCAAAATAATTGAGAAACACACAGAATTCTGCAGTACATAACAGCCTGGTGTGTCCTTTTACATGAATGACAAAATGTTATCACATAGCTACACAAATTAGTCAGTCAGCTGATGTAATGTTGCAGCTTATTTGCAAGGGGAATGCAATATAAAAGTCAGGACATCTTGTTACAACTGTAAGCAAAGATGAAGTCTTCGCAGTCCCAGAGTACCACAGGGCTGCTGTCTTATGAGAGAGGGCTGAATGGTGGTGCATTTAGCCTGAGGGTTACCATACCTCAGGCAAGGAATTATGTTGAAAAGGCAGCAACTTAAGGCTGAACTCAGCTGACATGGGAATTGAACCCATGCTGTTGGCATTACTCTGCATCAAACATTTGTACAGGGTATTGAAGTGACCATGCTGGATTACTTCATACAATTTTGATCTCCTTACTTAAGGAAGGATATATTTAATTTGGAAGCAATTCAAGAACGGTTCACTTGGCTGATTCTTAAACTTAAGGGTTTCATTCTGATGGAAGATTGAATCAATGCTCATTGAAATTTAGAGAAACGAGTGGTGATTTTATATAAAAATAAAGTATTCTGAGGGATCCTCTGTGACAGTACTGAGAGGGTGTTTCCTCTCACGGGAGAAGCTAGAGCTAGGGCTCAGTTTCAAAATATTAGGTTTTCCAGTTAAGACAAGATGAGAAAAATGTATTCCCTCATATAGTCATTCATATATTTGGTATTCTCTTTCGCAGACAGCAGTAGAGGCTGGGACATGGAATGTACTCGAGGTTGAGGTACACAGAACTTTTTCATTGATAGAAGAGCAAAGGAATGGGGAGTTAAGACTACAACCATATCACCCAGGTTTTTACTGAATGGCGCAACATGCTCATTGGCTGATAGCCATTGCTGCTCCTATTTCTTGTGACTTTAGAACAAGGTTATTTTGGGAGAGCGGGAGGAGGTGAGAGGGACAATGATGCACTCTGTCAGATTACTGCCCATGAATTGAAAACAAACTTTTACATCTTAGTGTTTAAATTTAAAGATAAACAATAGCCATTGGGGAGAGGTATTGAAGTCAGCTGACACCCAAGGAACTTTACCCAGTAAGTCCCAGCTTCTTCAAGAAAGAAAACATTTTTCAGGAAGATACTGAACTTGAAACTAAAAGCATAACTGTAGCAAAGCTGCAACTTAATATGACTCTTAAACCTATAAAATTAATGCTAACCTTCCACATTCTCATCAGGCATCAGACATGTCCTGTTGTCAGAGGTTTCTCTGGGGAATTGTTTGCAGTCTGTGTCCTCTGGCCATTGCAGTCCAACCATGCTCAGTACAGTCTCACAGTGTTTTTTGGAGTCTTCACATAGGGATCTGAATAAAAGAATAAAAATATTAAACAACAATTAAAGTATGATAAAATGGGAGGTTAACTAATTGCATATACAAGAAACATCCCAGTAAAAATAATAAATACTAAATGGGGTCATGCATTTTTTGCTGTAATTAGTTGGACATATTTTCTCAATTAAAGCTTGACCAAGATACCATTTTGATGGAAAATTACTTCATTAATCAAGTCCTTTACTTCATATTCCTTAGCACCATTGCTTCCCAATTCAGTATCTACATGAAATATGCTGTAATTGATGGTGAAAATAATCAAAGGGATGTAGAAATGTATTATTATGGAATCTTTTGGTATCAAGCAGATTCACTTTGCTGATGCAATAAGTGACAAATGCACCAAAACTGTTACAGATTGTTTTATTCACTCAAGAATTTTGCACAAAACATGAATATAGCAGACTTGGATTACATTTATGATAAAACTAAACATGATGCATTAATACTGCAACCTACTCCATTGGATTATTACAGAAATGTCTATCACAAAATAAAATACTGCTCTTCACATACTTTCTAATAATATCTGTTGAAAACAGAAGGCATTCTGCATTACCTGCAAGGTGGGACCCGTTGATTAGTCTCATAGTCACACTTTGGTACAAGGATGCTGCACGCAAAAAACATGAGGTACTTGTAACAATTGGTTTGAACAAGGTTTGGAAAGAGTGAAAATTCCCAGCTAATTGATGCCTCTTTCTGGTCCCGGTGACTCAGGTAGTTAGGGTAGATCGTGGAATTGTACGGCTGATTCATACAGAGCTCAAGAGTAATAGGCTCACATTTACCTGCATAAGGGAAGAACATTTAAATGGATTTTCTTGCAAGATATTCAAGTTTTAAATAGTTGATTTTTGACAAAATGTCAGGAGGTTAAATATAAGACAAACTCTCTGCTAATAATGAAAATTAAGCCATACCATCTTTTAAATTGATACCATGTCTGGAGTGTCTTATTACATCATCTGATGCACTAACATGATGTATTGGCTTTGCAAACACTAATTATTTTGCGGTCAAGAGAGGGTAAACTTTAGTTGTGTGGTGTGTCATGGCAGAATATACATCTTTCAGAATAATCTGATCAAATAACAACAACAAGTCTAACTTACTGCAGTTTATTTTACTGTTATGAGCCACACAACTAGAGCCATTGCAGGTCTCAGTACAGGAATTTTCAGCACATGATAAATCCCCTTCCTTGCAAGTGCTCTGATCTGCTGGAGCAAACAGAAAACATATAATTGCTGTTTTTAATTCTGCTCTTTCTCAAAAGTAAATTCTTGTGTACCCTTTTGTCAGGATTGTCAGGATGTGAAATTAGAACAGCTCATCTACAGTGTATGATGCTGTTTGGTCAACAAGTCACATGTCAATATTCATTGGCACAGGAGAGGATCTTCATTTTTCCTGTGGCTTTTAAGGCTCAGGCAGTTTAAGGTTAATTGTAGGAAAGCCTAAAGTGCTATTAGCAAATGGAACATTTCGATAAAACATCAGTCAGGAGCCTAACCTGGGAATATATGAAACTGACGTTTGGTACAAAAAATACCAAAATGCTCTCTCTGCAGCACTGGCAATCAATATTAATACACAAAAAGAAAATCAAAATAAGTTCTAACTTTTTAAACACCTCCTCATCTGTAGGAGATAAAGGACAGAATTTAATGAGGCTGGTTGAGAATGGGTGTCTCTACTGGTGAAAACTGTTGTTAATACATGGGTCATTAGCTGGGTTTGTGGGATCCTTCAGAAAAGATAAATATTGGCTGGATAGGAGTTGCAGCAAGGAGGTTGTCAGCTTATAACCATCTTCCCTCCCTAATCAGGCCCTCAGTCTCTTGAACAGGTACTAAGTGTCTTTCAATATTAAACACATCCCACAATTTGGCAGGAACAGAAACAAAAACAAAGTTGCTGGAAAAGCTCAGCAGTTCTGGCAGCATCTGTGAAGGAGAAAACAGAGTTAATGTTTCAGGTCTAGTGACCCTTCCTCAGAACTGGCAGGAACAGAGTTTGTTTGTTGCTCTCCCCAAATAGCAAGTACCCCATCCACCACTAACTGAGTTTCAGAGGCAGCAGGGTGACGTCCTTAAGTGGGGTGTGGAGAATCCTGGCAAGATCAACAGTTGTTGCTCAACCCTAACTTTGCTTGAACTGAGTGACTCGCTAAGCCATTTGAGGGAATAGTTAGGGGTTCACTATATCGACCCTAAGACATAGAGCAGAGGTAAACTATTTGGCCCATTGAGTATGCTCCATCACTCAGTGTCCTAACCAATCCAGTCTCTCTTTGATGGCAGAAGAGAACTGATTTCTTAGGACTGTATACACTGGAGTTCAGAAGCATGAGGGAGGATCTCATTGAAACCTATAAAATTTGCTCAGGGCTAGACTGTTTGAATGCAGGATAGACGTTCCCGATGACTGAGGAGTCCAGAACCTGGGGTTGCAATCTACAGATATGAAGTAAGCCATTTAGAACTGAGAAGAGGAGAAACCCAGAGAAGAGTGAGTCTATGGAATTTTCTGCCACAGAAAATGGCTGAGGCCAAAACATTGAATGTTTTCAAGAAGGAGTTAGATATAGTTCTTATGGCTAAAGGGATCAAAGGGTATGGGGTGAAAGTGGGAACAGGGTACTAAGACAGATGACCAGTCATGATTATAATGAATGGTGGAGTCGCAAAGGGCCAAATGATCAACTCCTAATTTCTATGATTCTAAGTTTTTTATGAGATCACAGCTGATCTTATAATCCTCAACTCCATTTTCTTGCATTTTTTCCCACAAGAACCTTTGATTCCCTTAATGATTAGAAATCTTTCTATCATAGCCATGAATGTGCTTAGCCACCCAGTCTCTACAGCCCTTTGCAGTAAAGATTTCTACAGAGTTACTACCAGAGCGAAAAGAAATCCTCTCATCTGTCTTAGATGGGCCACTCTATACTCCGAGATTATGCCCACAAAGGGAAACAGCCTATCCACATCTTCCTGTCAAGCACCCGAAACATCTCATATGTCTCAATAAAGTTTCCTCTCATTCTTCTAAACTCCAATCAGTATCATCCCAAACTACTCAAACTCTCCTCATTAAGAAAATCTCTCCATACCCAGGATTGACCTTGGGAACCTTCTCTGGATAGACTCTAATGCCAGTATACTTTCCTTAGATAAAGGGACCAAAACTGATCACAGTATTCCCACTGTACTGTGACTAATGCCTTGTATAGTTTTAGCAAGACTTCCCATTTTTTTAAAACTCAATTCCCTTTGAAATGAAGGCTAAAATTTCATTTGTTGTCTCTATTACCCACTGAACTTGGATGCTAGCTTTTTGTAACTTATGCACCAGGATTTCCAAATTCCTCTGTGCTATAACTGTCTGCAGTCTTTCTCCATTTAAGTAGCATTCAGCTTTTCTATTCTTCCTATCGATGTGCATAACCTCACACTTTTTCACATTTCACTCAATCTGCCAAGCTTTTGCCCATTCACTTAATCTGTCTATATCTCTCTGTAGTCTCCTTACCAGTGGCCTGCCCATTGATTTTTGTATCATCTGCAAACTTAGCTAAAGTACATTCTTTCCTTCATCCAAGTCGTTGATATATTACAAACAGAAACACAGATTGCTGGAGAAATTTGTTTCAGATCTGCAGCAGTTTTAGATTTGCAGCATCCGCAGTTCTTTGTTTTATGTTAATATATCGCTGTGGGTCTTTAGCTATGACAAGCATCCATTCCAAAAGGACACTGGTGAACCATTTGGCAGTCAATAACAATCGTCATGACCACCATCACTGATAGCTAACTTTGAATTCTAGATATCAATAGAACTCAAATTCCACTAGCTGTTCAGTTGGGATATGAATCCAAGTTCTCAGAGCATTAGCTTGGACCTCTTAATTACCAGCCAATTCCCACTGGTTTGGAAAAAAGCCCAGAAGCCTTCTTGGCCCAGACTTTATTTGGAACAATGGGAGGGGGCAGGTGGGGAACAGCAGATTGTCACCCCGCACCTCTGCCTCAAAATTTACCTCAGGAAGGATTGGCAGCAGTAGTTTTTGCCCATACTTCAAATAGTGCAGCATACTGAAATTATAATATAATCAGGCTTCCATAATTGAAAGCAATTAGAAAATATTGTTTTAAATGTATTAGAAATATCATTATGGTAAGGTCTTTTTGATCATTTAGGAATGATTCTAGCTAGCAACATTGACTATTAGTTACTCCAGAGGTTTAATCGGATACAACTATACGAAGAGACATTAAATCAATTTAAATTAATCTAATTAAATTAATTTACATTTAAATAAACAATTAAAATTACTGTTCCCACAAACATTAAAATCTCCTCTGCACGTTTTATTCATCAGTTTCATTTAGCTTTGAAACCATTTACATTTTATTGTGGAAATACCTAATTTGACAACTAGAATTGATTGCCGTTTGATTAGATTCATAGTTTTAAGGTTTCATAATTTTTGTACTGAATTAGGAAGAAATACAAACCATGGGTTTTGGAACAGTTCAGTTCATCACTCCAGTCTTCACAGTCATTTTCACCATCACAGTGGAAAATGCTTGGAATACATCGACCATTACCGCACTCCATCAGACCCTGGCTCTTGCAAGCTGGAAAACAATTTTAATATTTGGAATTTCTAAAATAAATAAGTTAAAATGAAATTATTTTGACAACTTTTAAAGATCCTTTGCTCTAATGTAAAATCCTGCAGAATGTACAGCCTCACAGCATTGAACAAGTATTCACTGTGAAGTTGATACAGTGCTTAAGTGTGAAGACTTAAGAAACACCAACTTTACCAACTTTAGTAAACAAGAGAAGTATTAGACCAAAATGAATGACAGGACTATCAGGAGTTATCAAAGCTATTGATCTAGGCATAGTTGAAATACGTAGCTTGTTTGGTTAGATCATTTCAAAGATAATTCAGGCCTATCTTTTTAAGGCAATCAAAGGACTCCAGAATAGAGAACAACAAAGAAGTGGAAATGCTACTGAAATTAATTTGTACAACAAGGTGTTGATATACCAAGTCTGGGTGACACAACCCCAAACACGATGAAGAAAGTGAAACAGAGATAACAAAAAGTCTGGACGTATCTCCTTAAATATATAAATTATGCTGCTGGATTGGGGATACTTAATATAACATTCTTTTTCAAGGGTAAACTGGGTAATTATAGGGCATTTTGTTCCTTTAATTTGTCGGGAAATTCTTGGAATTCAGAATGACATATAATTAGTGAGCATTTAAAATACATGGATTAATCAATGGCAATGAGTATAGATTTGTGTATAGAAAATTATGTTTAACAAATTTATTTAAGATTTTTGAAAAGGGTGACTATTATAGAGATAAAGGGAATGCATTAGTAGAAGTATTATAAAAATTTTCAACAGGCTTTCTGTAATAAATCGAGCAAAAGGCGTCTCAGAAAAAAACCCAAGCATATGACGTGAGATGCAGTCCAGTCGCTGAATAGAATGTTGATTGATGAATAGGAAGCAAAGTGATAGTGGACATACTTTGGATTCAGAAAAGTTTGAAATGAAGTACCTGAAGGCCAGTGCTGAATATTGCCTTGTCATGGTATGTAGAGATGACTTGGACATAGTGAATATAATGTTGGAATTTACTGCCAACACAAATTAGGAAGTTTAGTAAAGAATGAGGACTGTGAAATACTTCAGAAAATAGACAGATTAGCAGACCAAGTACGTAGGTGACAGGGGTAACTTAATGTGGATGAGTCATAGAGTCATTAAGATACAGAAGGAAATTACTTGTCTATTGATTCCATGCTCCCGCCCTCCATAAAATAATCAGATTTGCCCCATTTCCTTGCAGGTGTTCTGCAGGTTTATTTTGCTCATGTGCCCATCCAATTTTCCTTTGGAATCATGCATCTTCTCTTCTTCCATCACATTCATAGGAAGCTAGTTCCAGCCATTACCACTGAGCTCTTCCTGGCTCAGCCTCTCCTTGCCTTGCCTTGCATCTCTTGCCAAAAGTCTGTTTACTTGCCATTGTCCCACCAGCTAATTGGAACACTTTTCTTAGTCTACCTGTAATAATCCTGCAATTGATATCAAATCCCCCCCTCACTCTCCTCTGTTCCAAGGAGAACATTGCCAGCTTCTCCAATTAAAATGGAAAGTGCTACAAGTCATCAGCAAGTCCGGCAGCGTTAGTGGTGAGAGGAATAGAGTTAAAGTCTGGAGTTGAATATGATTCCTCTTCAGTAAAGGAAAGTAGAAATTTGATAAGTTTAGAAAAATTTAAATTCTACTGTGGGATGCAGAACGAGCTGATAGAATAAAATTCCTCTCCATTACTGGGTTGGATATCAATGTTGCATCAAAATGATGCAAGCATTAACCTCGAGTAGGGAGATATGGTTAATCCCAATATGTTGGACAATTTTGGCAGGCGAAAGCTTTTCTTCACTACACAGCAGTGTTGTGATCCTCCAGAAATTTGAGGGCTTAAATGTGAAGAGCAGACTTGGCTTAGTTTTTGCATAATCCATTGTTTACTATCACTTATTCATTTGGTCTGCACATAAGGAATAGCTGGAATGCAGAATAATACACAGCAGGCATCAATGCTTTGAGGTGGGATGGTGAGAAAAGTGAGGCCAAAGTGGAACATTGACTTCCCTGGAAGCAAAAAAATTATCAGGTTAAGGAAAAACTAATCATATTACTTGCTCACTTTTAATTTAGATAATAATACAAATTCATCTTTGGTTTATAACATATTATTTAGAATTGACAGCCTTACACTTACACTTTCTAGCATGAAGGAAGTAATTATTTAGCACTACACTCAGACAATGCAGCTCGCTTTTCATTATTTTTGTGCACATGCTCATAGAACTTAATTTGGATTAATATTTTGATGCTTAACTATAAACTCACAAAGTAAGTCTAAATATTGCCTGCATAATGTTAGTTATAAAACTCTGCTCCTTAATTACAATTCTCAAGGGAAATAGTTCAAATGTACACAATATTCCTTATGTACCACAAGGGAACAAAAGAGTTGCACATATCTTTCTCAATCTATTCCCAAATTCTTGGCTGTACTGATAAGCCATAAACATTGATGGTGAATTGATGACTTACAGCAGTTAACCTCATCAGACTTGTCTCTGCAGTCATGGTCTCCATCACAGACCCAGGACTTCAGGACACATCGGCCACTTCCACATCTGAAATGGAGCTCGGGATTGCATTCTGTAAAAATAAAACATGGCTCAAGAGAGTTGAGAAATTATAACACAGGACATTGAAAACTGACATGGGGCAAAAGCAGAGCTGTATTCAATTTCGAAGCAAGACCACTTAATGAAAATTACTTTGTTTGGAATCAAATATTTCCAGAGCCTTACCTACATAGCCAATTTAACAAATGACATGCCTTGCCTCCATTTCTTTTCCTGAAGTATTCAGTCTTGTTATATTATTGCTCTATTGATACCAACAAAATTCCTACAGACCAATCATTCTTTACATGTAAACCAAGGTAATAAATTTCAGCTGCCACTTCACTGCAAAGAGCATCCATGTAAGTTGCATTTTCCAAAAGTTGCTGGATACTTATCAGCTTGGCATCATACCATGTATTTCAAAGGTGTATTTCAAAGTCCTCGATTTTTTTTATGGATACTTTTAGCCCACAAATGCCCCCAATGCTATTAAGTTAGTGAGACTTCAACTTTTACTTGTAATTTTTTTAATTAATCTGCCCCATATTTAATGAACTTAAATCACAGCATATATCAGCACTCACATACAGAAGGACTGAAATGGTGATTTCACCTGTTGACCTGTTGTATCTGTGCAACTGTTTCACCTGCAATGCTCTATCCCAGCCCCATTTTCCCATATTCTTTTCTATACTTCATTTTCTAATGATATTATAGCTTCTCAGAATAAGGAATTGCCCATTTAAGACAGAGATGGACAGCAATTTCATCCCTCAGAGAATCTATAAGATTCTCTACCCAGGAGAGCAGTAGAGGCTGAGTCATTGGATATTACAAGGTTGAGTTAGACACATGTTCGAAATATAGGGGTATCAAGAGTTTGGGGAACAAAAAGGGAAATGGAGTTGATGCCAAGAATAGATCAGTCATCTTTAGCTACTTTATCAATTACATTTTCTCTATCATATGGTCAGAAGTGGGAATGTTCCCTGACGATTTCACCAGTTATAACTCTTCAAATACTGAAGCAGCCCATGTCCATATGCAGCAAAAGGTAAAGTTCAGTCTTAGGCTCAAAAGTAGCAAGTAACATTCATGTTACACAAGTGCTATGCAAATGATCATTTCCAACAACAAAGATTCTAACGATCTCCCCTAGATATTTACAGTACTAACATCACTGAAGCTGCACCGTCAACATCCTGTGGATGACCAATGAATAGAAAATTAACTGGTCCAGCCACTTGCTGTGGGTACAAGAGCAAATCAGAGACTGGGAATTCTGTGGTGAGGAACTCACCTCCTGTGTCTCCAATGCCTGCCCATCACCTACAAGACATATATCAGAAGGGTGATGAAAAATTCTCCATATGTCTGGATGACTGCAGTTGCAAAAATACTCAAGAAGATTGATACTATCCAGGACAACACAGTCCACTTGATTAACACATGATCCACCAACCTAACCATTCACTCTCTTCACCACTCTCACACAGCAGTGTGTGCCACCTGTAATAGACACTATAAGAACCCACCAAGCTCCTTTCAGCAGCAACTTGTACACCCTTGATTATCACCTCAAAGGACAACAGCAGCTGATGGATAGGAACATTGTTATGATCCAGCAAATGATGTCCCAGACTGAAATCTGTCTTGATAGAACATATATTTTTTTTTGGTTTTAATGAGATGATCTCTCATTGAAACACAAACATGCAATGCCAGTGATTTGGAGTTCAACAATAAAATAGAAAGTTATTACACAAAAGAAATAAAGATAAATAGAATAAATCAAACCGGACACAAAACAGAAATTTAAAGATTTTGAAACAAAATAAAATATTTCAGTGATCCCATCAACATTCCTTTGCACTACCAGTGAGAATTTCTTTCTCTTTCACATCTAATTAATTAATTTAACTTTGGATTCAAGTCCCTGTCTTGAGAGCCTTATAGCTTCTTCCTGAAGCCTTCAACAACTGAGCTTAGACTTTCTCAGCTTCAAATAACCCCTTCAGGGTTTTAGCCAATACTTCTGGTCTAGATTTTTAAAGTAAACTCATTCCACTGACATAACTTCTTTCTAAGAGTCTTAAAAATACCTCCATTTCTTGGCAGCAGCTGTTTTGTTCATGTACTTTCAGCCAAGACTTCTGCAAACATCCTCAAACTGAATCTAAAATGTTCTTTTCTCCCAAGCTATGGATTTATACCAAAGCCCCCAGAAGATCCCAAAATCTTGTACCTGACAGCTTAAAGCACTACACAGTCTATTTTGTTGCTTGTAAACTCTCTCAAGGTAAACAAATTCCCAGTAGCCTTCACAAAACACCCCTCTCAGACATTTTTTTTGAAAAAGAAATCATTATGGCTACAGAAACACTTGCATGTTAATCTTTAAAACCCTTCAGACTCACAGAAAACCCATGTGACACCAATTCAACCTTCAAAACTCCAAAAACAAATTATGTTAGATATATATACATAACCTCACATATCATCACATGTAAGTTCCATACTAAGACAAACAATTTTCTGACTTTGAACTATATTGTTCTTCCCTCACTGCTGAATGATTGAAAACCTAGAACTCTCTTCCTAAGTACACTGTGGGTATCCCTGGACCACATGGACTGCAGTAGTCAAAAATGTAGCAAACATTCCATGATCAAACTTTAAAAATCCTTTTAGAAGATATTATAGATTCTTTCCCAAAGCCACTTTTGTGAAGTATTCTTTATTTTAGTAATCCCAGCACAAGAAATTATTTCTCCTTTTCATTCTTCAAAGTGGTACATTTATACTCTCTGTTAATGATTTTTTTGGACACAATAGCACAAAAAGGAAAGAACTCCGTAATATCAGAAAATAAATCTGAGAACTAGTAGGTAAACCTTTAGCTGACCAGTCTTTCTGTGTTTTTTTTTCTGGACCTTTTCCCTTAGATTGAAAATAAATTTAGTTATGAATAGCATTCCACGACATCAGAACAAGTGATTCAGAATATCTGAATGATTTTGATGATTTTTAAATGTTGATGTTCCTTATTTTTAGGGCAGAATAGTAATTTATTTTATTCCCTGCATTGAGAAAGGAGCAAAGATCTTCTAGCATTTTTGATTCTTCCTGGATTCAGTACTATAGAAATTTTAAGACTCTAGCTGAATTCCAATGTAATGGCTACAACAGATTAAAGATGAAGGTTTAGAAATTTGTCATGATGTGAAGGTGCCAGTGTTGGTCAGGGGTGGTCAAGATCAGAAATCACATGACGCCAGGTTATAGTCCAACAGGTTTATTTGAAAACACAAGCTTTCGGAGTCACACTCCTTCTTCAGGTGTTAGTGAGAGAGATAGTATCAGACACAGAATTTATAAGTAAAAGATCAAAAGTTTACACCACTGATGAGGATCTACTAAACAAATCTAAGATGCTGGTAAATCTTTAATTGGTTAGAAGGTATTAATTGATTAATATGTATATGTAAATCCCCAAATCCCTTTGAAGTCACTGTCCTGAGAGAACTAAAGGTTTTATCAGTGTAAAGAGAAGGTGACATTTTCGGTCAGACAATAGCTGTTAAGTGTGAGGCCTTGTTTAGAATCTGTTTATGTTTTGGTTTGGAGTCAGACTGGTTTAATTTCTAAAGTAGTGATTTATAAAAGGCCACATTGATTGTCGATAAATTGTGAGCTTTTTGAATAAAATAGAGTGTATCTGCAAATACAAATTCACCCCATACATTCACATACGTGTGTCCACGTGTATGTACGTGAGGGAGAGTGAGAGTGTGTCTGTGTGCATGTGTGTGTGGGGTGGTGATGGTGGTGGGAAAAGAGAGAAAGTGTGTGTGTGTGTGTGTGTGTGTGTGTGTGTGTGTGTGTGTGTGTGTGTGCGCGTGCGTGTGTGTGAGAGGATCCATGTGTGTGTGTGTGTGTGTGTGTGCATGTGTGATTGTGAGTGAGACAGTGTGTCTGTGTGTGAGAGAATGTTTGTGTAAGTGAGTGTGTGAGTGTGAGTGTGCGTATGTGTGAGAGTGTATAGTGTGGTGGGGTCACCTGTAATGTGACATGAACCCAAGATCCTGGTTGAGGCCGTCCTCATGGGCACCGAACTTGGCCATCAGCCTCTGCTCAGCAACTCTGCGTTGTTGTGTATCCCAAAGTTTGCCTTGGAGGATGTTTACCCAAAGATCCGAGGCCAAATGCCCTTGACTGCTGAAGTATTCCCCCACTGGGAGGGGACATCCCTATCTGGCGATTGTTGGGCGTTGTCCATTCATCCGTTATCGTAGCGTCTGCATGGTCTCGCCAATATGCCATACCTTGGGGCATCCTTGCCTGCAGCGTTTGAGATAGACAACATTGGCCGAGTCACAAGAGTATCTGCTGTGCACGTGGTGGGTGGTGTTCCCACATGTGATGGTAGTGTCCATGTCAATGATCTGACATGTCTTGCAGAGGTTGCCATGACAGGGTTGTGTAGTGCTGCAGTCGATGTTGTCCTGATGGCTGAGTAGTTTTTCAGACATTACATAACTTCCTAAGATTCTAATATGGTGGTCAAAGAGTGCACACTCATTGAGAGCCATAAATGTGCTACTTTCAAAATTGATGTACATCGGTGTCTAAAACCGATGTCTAAAACAAGCGTTAGACACATAATTTGCATATATAAAAAGGAAATAATTTCTATTTGAGGTCTTCACTGCAAAGATGATTCCTGGAGGAAAGTGCTGCATTCAAGGTGGGTTTTATAGAAGGGCTTGGCTGGATGGTCTGTTTCTGTAAGCTATTATCTATGTGACTATGTAGTTTTGCTGCAAACTACAATGGCCACTATTAGCTACGTGTTGTAATCTGCAGCATATATAAGAGTGCAAACAATCAAATTTAATTACAGCAGGATTCTGCTTCAAAATGTAAATATAGGTTTCAGGTTCTACTTACCACAGCTTAGTTCATCACTCAGATCCCCACAGTCATCGTAACCATCACAAGTGTTATTATGGTGGATACATTTTCCAGTGCCACACTGGAACTGCCCTTGGCTACAGGCTGAAACAAGCAGGGATAAAATGGAAAACATGATTGAAACAATGGCTTAGAAATTTGTGATGTTACATCTGGTTTATAGTCATAAAATGGCCATAAGAGTCCAACATGGCAGGTGACATAGATGTACAAATTCTGAACTGGAAGCAGGCACCTGTCCAGGACTATTCCAGTATGTGCCAACATGAAAGAAGCATTTTAAGTCTGCACATTTTGATCTTTTCAAACATTGGAAATTGCACATAGAGTACATAGAGTACATAGAACATTACAGCGCAGTACAGGCCCTTCGGCCCTCGATGTTGCGCCAACCTGTGAAACCAATCTGAAGCCCATCTAACCTAAACTATTCCATTATCATCCATATGTTTATCCAATGACCATTTAAATGCCCTTAAAGTGGGCGAGTCTACTATTTTTGCAGGCAGGGCATTCCACGCCCTTACTACTCTCTGAGTAAAGAACCTACCTCTGACATCTGTCCTATATCTATCACCCCTCAATTTAAAGGTATGTCCCCTCGTGCTAGCCATCACCATCCGAGGAAAAAGGCTCCCACTGTCCACCCTATCTAATCCTCTGATCATCTTGTATGTCTCTATCAAGTCACCTCTTAACCTTCTTCTCTCTAACGAAAACAGCCTCAAAACCCTCAGCCTTTCCTCATAAGACCTTCCCTCCATACCAGGCAACATCCTGGTAAATCTCCTCTGCACCCTTTCCAATGCTTCCACATTCTTCCTATAATGCGGTGACCAGAACTGTACGCAATACTCCAAGTGCGGCCGCACCAGAGTTTTGTACAGCTGCAACATGACCTCATGGCTCCGAAACTCAATCCCTCTACCAATAAAACCTAACATACTGTACGCCTTCTTAACAACGCTATCAACCTGGGTGGCAACTTTCAGTGATCTATGCACATGGACACCGAGATCTTTCTGCTCATCCACACTACCAAGCTGTCGCAGCCAGCTAGGCGATGTATCTGAGCATGCCTACAATAACAACTTAGATTGATAAAGTGCTTTTAGTTAAACATTTTATGATGCTATAAATGTCTTACCGGTGCTGCAGATTGTTAATATAGCGAGTAGTTGATTGGGATTAATTGAGGAATTAATTGACTGGGTAGATATAAAAGAGAACAGGTGGGACTGACTGAAGGGTAGCAGGAGTTGTAAGACTGCACAATTAATGAATTCAATCTACAAAGAAAGACGTCTTGGTTTCTATTTCATTAGCTGGCTTGTATCCGAGAACACACTGGTAACAGAGAGTGGTTGCCTAAATGTGAAATTTGGAAATCAAGAGTTATTTTCAAACAGGAAGTTGTAATTTTAGTTCTGAGGAAGGGTCACTGTACCCGAAACATTAACTCTGATTTTTTCTTCATAGATGCTGCCAGACCTACTGAGCTTTTCCAGCAACTTCTGTTTTTGTTTGTGATTGTAATTTGAGTTACTTTTGAGAAAAATGGCAGAATCAACTGTAAAGTATCAGGATACGATTTCCCACTGATGTTCTTTGAAGTTGAAGTTGGAAAATGAGGTAGATACAGGGACACTAGTTACAAACTTTCCAAATAAAAACAAGGCACAGCCTTGCCACTGCTGCTTCCTACAGAAGCAGGATCATGTGTAAATTATTCTCAGAACTAAAGGCTCAAGAATTAGACACTGAGGAAGGTTTGGATAATTTTTTAATAATTATGGCTAAAATTTAAAAGAAAGATGGCTTTTTGAGTACACAAGTCATGGATGCACTTTGATAAATTTAGAAAAATCAGATGGCTATTCCATAGAATAAAAGATAATTCTGCTCCTATATCTTATGGTCTTATGATATTCCAAATTGAAAAGACTCAATTTGCAGATTTCTAACTCAGTTCTTGCCTAACAGTTTAATTTCCATGGATTCAACTGTAGTGTGAATGCAAGACTGTCCAGATATAGGTCAAACTCATTAATACAAAACAAAAATCATGAATAAAAGGAGTGAAATTAGAGATACCCCAGACAATTATAACAGATGAGAGGAATTTGGGAGCTATAATAGCAGCTTAAACACTAAGACTGTTGAACACTGGTCCATAGATGTTTTTGATGCGATGACTTGTTGGTTTAACCTGGAGGGTCATCACACCTCAAGTGAGGGGAGAGGTTGAGAAGGAAAGCCCCTTATGGTAACCTCAGCTGGTGTGGGAATGGAACACAGGCTGTCTTTTACTCTGAACAAAGTATGTGGAGACTAAGGAACTTGGGGAAATAAATACTGATGCCTTGAAAACAGTCCACATTATAGAAGAGGAAGTGCTGGAGGTCTTAAAAAAAATAAAGGTGGATAAACCCCTGGGACCAGATCAAGTGTATCTCAGGATGTTGTGGGAAGTTAGGAAAGAAATTACGGGGCTCCTAGCTGAAATATTTGTATCATCTACAGCCACGGGTGAGGTCCTGGAGAACTGCAGGGTGGCTAATATATAGAACATAGAAAAGTACAGCACAGTACAGGCCCTTTGGCCCACGATGTTGTGCCAACCTATTATCCTACTCTAAGATCAACTAACCCTGCATACCCTAATGTTGTGTCTTTATTTAAGAAAGGCTGTAAGGGGAAGCCTGGGAACTATAGACCAGTGAGATTGACATCAGTAGTGGGTAAGTTGTTGGAGGGGATTCTGAGAGATAGGATTTACATGTGTTTGGAGAGACAAGGATTGATTAGGGCTATTAAGCATGGCTTTGTGGGAAATCTTGTCTCACTAACTTGACTGAGTTCTTTGAGGATGTACCCGAAAAGATTGATGAGCACAGAGTTTTTGATCTTGTCAACATGGACTTCAGTAAAACCTTTGACAAGGTTCCACATGATAGACTGATTATTAAAGTTAGACTATGTGGGATTCAGGGAGAGCTTGCCAATTGGATACAAAATTGGTTTGATGGTAGGAGACAGAGGGTGGTGGTGGAGGGTTGCTTTTCAGACCGGAGGCCTATGACCAGTGGTGTTCCGAAGGCATCGGTGCTGGGTCCATTGTTGTTTGTCATTTATACAAATGATTTGGATGAGAATTTAGGAGACATGGTTAGTAAGTTTGCAGATGACACCAAAACTGGTGGTGCAGTTGGCAGTGAAGAAGGTTATCTAAGATTACAAAGGGATCTTGATCAGTTGGGTCAATGGGCTGAGGTGAGAAAGAATAATAAATGTTGGCCATTGACCTGTGAAGCGAAGAAAATCAAAAGGGTGTTTAAAAATGTACATTATCTGCTGAAACATTGGTGCTAGTAAAGATTCTAAAGCATATCCTATACAAGGGGCAATGTTATGTGGATAACCCATTTTCTTGAGAAAATGTACATTTGGCAATGGGTGTCACTGAGAAAAGGTAATCATACATGTTGCTAGCATAAAGGAAATGTTAGAAAGAAGAAACTTCCAAAATATAGAGTGTTGACCCAAGTCACCAGTTGTCAAACTGTTATGCATAAACAGGTGCTTGCACCAAGACATTAGTGGAGAACCTCAAAAAGGGGTGTCTGGTTGTAATGAGGAGTTAGAACAGCATGAAAGAATCAAGTTTGTTTGGGTCACTTTGTGATTAAAAATGTTAGAAGTTTCTTTGTTTTAAGAATGAAGGAAGAAAAGGGAAGGTTAACTTTATTGAGTTGAATGTGAAAGAGATGTTTCTGAACAGTTGCATAATAAGACAAGATATAAAATATGCAAAAAATCATTGTGTTTACTTTTCATTTGTTTTGTGCATACGTTGTTTGTATGCCTTCAGAAGTTTTATTTAAGAAGGCAATCTGTTAATAAAAGCAAGTAGTTAGGCGGGTGCCTGGGGTTAAAGACAGAATAGGTCAGACTGATGTGGCAGGAGCCACACATCACAATCTGAGAAATCTTGTGGTGCAGCGGTAATGTCCCTATCTATGAACTAGGAAAACAGGTTCAAGTCCCACCTGCTCCAGAGGTGTAACAACGTCACTGAATAGGTTAATTTTCACAATGGAAAATGTTTTGATTTTTGTTGCATAAACTTGCTTAGATCCAAGCTAACACTGCTAAGCTGTGCTGGTGCATGGGTATGCAGTTACCTGGAAAGTACTACACAGTCCTAGTCTGATGATAGATATGCGCTGCACATTGAAAATCTGGCCATATCCAAATCAAATGGAACATTTGTCATGATCGCAGCTAATCGTACTACTGGATAAGTCAGATCCCAGAATGAAACCTGGCTTAACAGATCCTTTTTTTCTTAAGTTAACACAGTGATTAGTTGTTAAAATGTTTTAAAATCTCCCCACCCCCGGCCTCATCCCATGACCAACCCTCCCTCTCATCCCCAACTCCTTGACCTGACATAGCCTGACCATATTCTCTCCCACCTATCCACTCCTCCCACCTCACTAACTAATCCCCACCACTGCCTACATGGACTTACCTATCACCATCCCACCTACCTTCCCCAGCCCCACCCCTCCTCTTTCTATTTATTTCTGAGCTCCCTTCCCCCTCCCCATTTCTGAAGAAGGGTTCTAACCCAAAACATCAACTTCCCTGCTCCTCTGATGCTGCCTGGCCTGCTATGTTCCTCCAGCTCCACACTGTGTTGCAAATCTAATGTTAGCTTCGTTTCTCTCTCTCCACTGATTCTGCCAGAGCTGCTGAATTTCTTTGTTCTTTTTGCACACCTTGTTCCCTTACTTGTAGACCCTCAGTTGCTTGGCATTATATTTGGAATTCCTTTCTTAAACTGCTTCATTTCTCTCTCCACCTTTAACAAAATTCTATGAACTCTTATTTTAAACAATACTCTTGGTGATCCCTCTAAATTGGTCATGATCGCTTAGCATCTATTCCTTATATTGACATTTTTTTTCCTCTTTCTGTAAAGGACTTTACACGTTTGATGTGAAAGAAATCCCAAATTTAATTTAGAGTAATTTTATGTAAAATGTTTTGCAAATCTGCAGATACGTAATATACAGGTCTTGAGCCAGATGAACAAGAACTTCTTGTGTGGCACTGGGCACAATTAGATTTTGTTTGATTATAACAAAACTGTTGACAGCTTTGAGGTTGCTTTATGTCAATCAGTATGACCGGTATCATGAAATATTTCATGAATGTTACAGCATAGAGGTTTATTTTAATTCCTAGTACTAGGTACCATTAGAAACATATTGCTGCAGTAATATGTACAACGCAGTCAAGTATTAAGTACATAGCCAGTATAATAGCGAGTGGTTGAAATATAGTCCCCTCCTCAGTAATTGTCTAACTTCCTCAGGTAGCATCACAATGCCACCATTATTTTGTGCTGCAGTTTATCTTCATTCAAGGTAAGTGCAACATTCACTACATTAAATTGAACTAAATCCCAGGCTTATAAAAAAGCCTTTATTTTAACTCTTTCATTCATTAAACACAAAAATAGTAATATTTTCATGTTCACACCACAGACAAGGGCCCAGATCACTGCTTTCAGACAGGACAGAAGAACAACCAGATTCCTCCTTCCTAACAAACATTGGGCAATTCAAACCATAGAGTGATTACAGAGCACAAGGAAGTCTTACAGCTCAGCAAGTTTGGCTCTCTATGAGAGCTTTTAACTAATTCCACAACTCTGATTTTCTTTCTCTTCAGGTACTAATCCATCTCCCTTGTGAAAGGCAACAATGCATCAGCCTCCAAGCCATTGCATTTCAGATAAGATTCACAAGAATGGTTGCAGAAATGAGAAGCTTTAATTATATAGATAGATTAGAGAAGTTGGGACTCGTTTCCTTGGGAGATTTGACAGAAGTATTCAAAATCATAAGGTCTCTAGACAGAGTAAATAAAGAAAAGCTGTCACTAATGAAAGAATTGAGAATAAGTGAGCATAAGTTTAAAATAACTGACAAAAGTAACAACGGAAACATAAGGAAATTTATTTTCACACAGTGAGTTGTTAAGATCTGCCTGAGAGTATTGTGGAGATGGGTTCTATCGAGACATTCAAGAGTAGTTGGATTATCTGAAAAAAGTAAAATATACAGGATCACAGGGAAAAGGTGGGGGATTGGTTTTAGATGAATTGCTAATTTGGACATCCAGACCTGACATGAGGGACTAAATGCCCCCCTTCTGTGCTGTATCAATTTTGAGATTATAAACCCTAACCACTCAATGGATAAAAAAAATGTTTTCCAATGTCACCTTTGATTCTTTTTCCAATCACCTTAAATCAGTGTCTTCTGGCTTGGGACCCTTCAACCAATGGAAACAATTTCTCACTAGGCTACTTTGTCTCAACCCTTCATGATTTTGAATACCTCAAGTCAAATCTCCTCACAACTTTAAGCACAGCTGCTGGGAACAGGCTTGTGGAAACCAGTGAGCAATTTTTTAAATTGACAAAATATAAAACAGCTTTCGTCATTCTGAACAGAAAATGTCACATTTGCTTTTCTTGAAAGTTCCTTGTTTAAAGCAGTTTTCTTCAAAATGTTCAACACAACTGGCATTAAGCTGACAATATTGAGATACATGTGTTATCCAAAAAATAGTGTCCAGAATCAGACACACAACATATTTTAATCCATTATAATAAAAGCCACCCTTGGAGACATATCTGGGTTTTACTTATACAAATCTTGTTTAACTCCTTATAACACTCGACTCTAATTATTGTCAGTACAGAGAAATCAAGAACATACCGCAGTCTGCCTCATCACTCCAGTCATCACAATCATTGTAACCATTACACAACAGCTTCCTTTGGATACAGAATCCACTGCCACACAAGAAGTTGTCCAGCTCTTTGCAAGATTCTGCAAGGAAAACAAAAAAAAGGTACATTAAAAGCTATAGAATGTATGTGCATTGTTATATTTGATAGATTTCACAATTATGCCATGGACAATATATGTAATGATGCCTTTTAAGGCAGGATAATTTGAGCATTTCATGCATCTTCCAAACCCATGATCATTTCCATCCAGAAGGACAAAGACAGCAGATACATGGGAACACCACCACCTTTAAGTTCCCCTCCAAACCACTCACCATGCTGAACTGAAAAATATCCCTGTTCTTTAAGTGTCATTGGGTCAAAATTCTGGAATTCCCTCCCAGCAGCATTACGGATCTATCTATACCAAATGGACTGCAGCACTTCAAGATGGCAGGGCACTGTAGTAACTGTAAAGAGGTCAGCCAGGTGGACCTCAGAATATGAGTTCCCTGATTGGGGCTGTTAACCTAGTCCAATCAGGGAGCCCTGGTTGACAGATAAGAGCAGGAGTATCACACATCCTGCTCACTCTGAGAGCTGGCTCTGAGGGAACTGGATCAGTGTCAAGGACTCTCCACGTGTAAATAAAAGGTGACTTGGTAACGAGATACAGGCCTTGTGGTGACGACAGAGAAGCATGCTCCTGAAGAAAATCTCTCGCAACACTTGTATTTGAGTTGGAATAAGCATTTCTGGCATCATGTCGTTATTTGGGAAGCTTGACTCATTGGATCCTGCCATCAAAGACTGGGGCCCAATGTATAGAAAGCATGTGTTATTTTTTACTAGGGAAAGAAATTTTATTCAGGATCTGGGCCAGCAAGCCATTGTAGTCGCTGATGTATGCAGACTCAAGACAGCAAAAGAGTCCCACTAGACTAAGTTGCGTAAGACAGCTCATTGGCCAGTATCCTAGGAGAGTGCACACTGAAAACTCCACCTACATCTGGTTTGGAACAGTTATGTTGCTTAGCAACATCAAGATCAGAACCAATCAAAATAAATGTCCAGTTAAATGGTCATCTGGTTCTAATGGAGGTTGATACCGGTGTGGCCATTTCAGTCGATCACGGAACAAGTCTATAATAAAACTTATTCTGGACTCCAACACTTAAGTTTGCACAAAACCTCAGCTAGACAGAACCTATACTGGGGAGCCTTTACAGATTAAGGGTACAACTTCAGTTCCCATCTCTTAAGAGAAGCAGCTGGTTCATTTACCAGTAATTGTATGATAAGGGCTCAGGCCCAAGCTTGATGGGGCGAAATTGGTTGTGAAAGATTTACCTAGATTGGCTCAACATTTTTCGATTAGAAAAAGGCTGCCTGAGTGAAATCCTAAATAAATAGCTGGAGTTTTTTCAGGAATGTCTAGGGACTATCAAAGGAGCCATGGCCACCTTTCATGTTGACCGGGAAACAATTCCACAATTCTGAACGGCCTGCCCTGTACCATTTGCCTTTTGGGGAAAAGTAGAGGCAGTAATCAGGAGGCTGGAAAGTGAAGGAATCATCAAACCAGTACAGTTTGTGGAATGGGCAGCACTAGTCATACCAATTGTGAAGCCTAACAGGTCGATTCGCCTTTTTGGGGTTTTTAAATGACCAATAAACTGTTTTTCACAGCTGGATAAATATCCAGTCCTTCAGATAGAGGATTTACAAGCAAAGCTGGCAGGGAGGCTGTCCTTTGTGAAGCTGGATGTGAGCCATACATATTTGCAATTGTGGTTAGATGAGAACTCCCAGAAGTATGCTACAATTAATCCCCATTAGGGTTAGTACCAGTATACGATATTGCCATCTGGGGTATCGTCAGCCTGTGCAATTTTTCAACAGATTGATGGAGAACATTTTACAAGGTCTACCCCGGTCTCCATTTATCCAGATGATGTGATAATGACAGGGAGACCATTGAGGAGCACTTAGAAAACTTGGATATAGTCTTTAGATGTTTCTCCTAGATGAGTGTATGCCTTAGAAGGGAAGAATGCGTGCTCCAGGCACCCCAAATGACCTATATGGGCTGTAGAGTCAACAAGACCAGGTTACACCCATTGGAAGCTGAAATGATGGTGATCAAAGGTGCCCCGGGGCCCCCACATCTGTACTGGAGCTTAGGTTTTTCCTTGGGCTGATGAATTATTACAAAATGTTCATACATAACCTGGCCTCCACCCTGGCACTTTTACATCAACTCCTAAAAAACGGTCAGCCTTGGAAATGGCCGCATAGCCAAGCCATAGCTTTCAGGGAAGTGAAGAAACAGCTATCATCTCTGAGGTGCTGGCTCACTATGTTCCCAAGTGAGATCTGGTATTGACAGGTGATGTCTCCCCATATAGCATCAGGGTAGTATTAGCTCATAGGTGGTCCAATGGAGAGGAACGTCTAATAGCATATGCAGTCAGGACTGGTTAATGCAGAGCGTAAATACACTCAGATAGAGAAGGAAGGTTTGGTGCTCATATCTGGAGTGAGGAAGTTCAACCAATACCTTTACGGACTACATTTGTGATAATAATGGACCACAAGCCCCTGCTAGGTCTATTTAAAGAAGACAAGGCAGTGCCACCCATGGCTTCAGGCCAAAATCATCAGTGGACTCTGATACTATGTGCGTATAATTACAAGTTGGAGCAACACCAAGCAGGCCAAGTAACAAATGCATTGAGCTGCCTCCCACTGGCAGATACACCCACTGCTGGTACCGTCAATGGAAGAGTTTGTAATGATTTTAAAGTTTCTGGGCACACTTGCAGTCACAGCTGACAATATCAGACTTTGGATGCAAATAGATCCGGTCCTGACAAAACTGAAACAGCTGGTAGTGATGAGGGAAATCACAGGGCTGTCGCTAGCAGAGCTGAAATTTTTTTGGACCCAGAAAGACTAGATTACAATTGAGGACAGTATATTATAATGGGGAGCAAGAGTGATTGTCCCAAGCAAAGGTCACTGCCAGATACTGGCTGATTCCCAACAGGGTCATTCATGGGTTTCCAAAACGAAGATGTCGGCAAGAAATTATGTCTGGTGGCTAGGCTTGGATGCAGATGTAGCCCCATTGGTGGGGCAGTGCCCAGAGTGCCAACAAGGACTAACATTACCATCAGCATATCCCCCACATTTGTGGGAATGGCCTGGTAAACCCGGACTCAGTTATACATTGACTATGCAGATCCTTTCATGGGTTCAATGTTCTGAATCATTGTACATGCCCACTCAAAGTGTTTGAACGTGCATAGCATTCAGTTGTCAAACACAGGGACGACAATAGAAAAACTGCGCGCATTTTTTGTAATACACAGACTCCCAGAAGTGTTGATCACAGATGACAGGCTGTCATTTACCAGCAGGGAATTTGAGTATTTCCTAAAGTCGAATGGTATTCAAATGTAAGGATAGCTCCATACTATCTATCATCCAATAGTCCAGCAGAAATAACAGTCCAAACTTTGAAGGCAGGCTTGAAGAAACAGCCTACAGCTTCGCTAGATACCAAACTGTCCCGTTCCTATTTGATTGTAGGACCACCCCTCATGCAACTACAGGGATAGCTCCAGCAGAGCTGCTATTGGGGAGAAGACTCTGCGTCAGGTTAAATCTGATTTTCCCAGACGTAGGGAGTGACGGGGTGGGTGGGAGAGCATAGAACCAGCATCAGGAATACCAATGCCAAACACAAGCCTCCGCTAAGCAAAAGACACAGTTTACTCTAGGGAAATAAACTTGAGTGGAAACCGGGGGAATGGCCCTACATGGGCAAGAGGCATGGTTGCCTCTTGGTCCAGGTGACATTTAAAATTTGGGCAGATGCGATGGTCCAGGTGCAAAATGTGAGCTACTGTGCATTATACACTGCCTGTATCAGAGGCAGAGTTGAATGAACCAGACCCAGTGCTAAAACGCCCCAGGGGATCTCCAGCAAAAAGGAACAGGCCTATGCCCTTGGATTTAGAGGAGGAGTGATTTAGTGGTTGTAACAAGGTCAGCCGGTTGAACCTCATAGAATATGAGTTCTTTTATTGGGGCTGTTCATCTGGTCCAATCAGGGAGCCCTGGCTGACAGATGTAAACAGGAGTGTTACTCTCTCTACACGATCTGGCATTGCTTGTTAATGGATCATTGGCCACATGGGTGCTTTCCTGGTGGTGGAAGATATGGAATTACATTTTTGCACAATGATGTCTGTTTACCGACTATAGACAGCCACAGTTAATTTAGGGAATATATAAGCACTACTGCTAGGTCCCGCTTTGAGCGCAGTGAGAGAAAAAAACAATAAACAGGAGATTCAGAAGGTCTCCTCAATGTAGGTACTGGTTTTGAGCTCGCTGGTCACAGCGCATTGTACTGTAAAAAAGAACAGGAGTGTCAGACATCCTGTTCATTCAGAGAGCTGGCTCTGAAGGAGCTGATCTCTCCACATGTAAATAATAGGTGACTTGGTGACAGGATACCAGCCTCTGTGGAATTATTTCAGCCACAACCACTTTCTAGGTCAACTAGAGATTGGCAACAAATGCTGGCTCAGCCAATAGCACCCGTATCCCGTGAATGAGTAAAAAAAAAATTGAAGCAAGTTGAAATTTGTTGACGGGATACTATTCAACTTGCTTCCTGTCGACATCAGGTGCACTTATTGAGTATAACAAATAAAATTGTCTTTAAATTCTATTTCTGCCATATCTAAATGAAAACAAAACATTAGCTTTCCCAAAAATAAATTTTGTTCATTAAAATTCTAATTTTTTGCTCAAAGTATACAGAGGGCTGGTTAATTATACCTTGCCTGTTTGACCTTTTAACATTCTCCAAACTAATTTTCAAATGAGCACTATAAAAACGTGTTTGTTTTGGATACATTTTTGCTATACGAGGGATAATTTAGGATCCAGTATTCCCAGCAGGTAGTGGTGATCACAGGAAGTTAATCCTGGGAATAATATCATAAAATACATGAGCAGCATTAGGCCATTCAGCCCATCAAGTCTCCATTATTCGATCATGGATGATATTTTTCTCAACCCCAT